TACAGTGAGTAGAGACGCTGTGAAATACGCATTTGTACTTTCCTTTCATCCTACTTCTCTGAATATAGGAACAACCAATAATAAAATATTTTTACTTTTGTTATTTGCTTAAGCATCTCACCGCAGGTATGGCGCAATTTTTAGCAAAAATTGCACTTCGTCGCAAGACGTGGCAGACTTTCGTTCATGGCGCATTTTGGCGCAACAGGCGCAGCGCTTCCATCACTGACACAGGCCGAAGACGCTTATATAGGCGAGGAACGTTTTCAATACGATGAAGCTCCATAGCGATCTTGGTACGACTGGTTTAGAACAACCCTTTGGAAGCTTCGAAGATTTGAAAGGACCAAAATGATGATTACCATAGAGGCCGATCAGCCGATCGCCTTGCGAAGTTTTGGTCGTCTGTATGTTTGTATCTGTTTTTGTGCAGCTAGCAAGCAGGGAAGGCAATGGCGCTACTTATCCAGGATCCAGCGACTTTAGGTGGCATGGCTGGCCGTGAAGGGAATATATGCTTCCCGGATGCGTCACCTCCTCGTCCAGCAGGTCGAAGGTACTCATGCACGGCTAACGCTGGGTATGGCTTGCATTGATATCACATCAGCGGCCCTTGTGCTATATCCTTGCTGCTGAGCGGTACCTTCTGCACATTTCACACCACCGAGTGTGTTTCTCTCGACAAGAACAAGCCCGAGTGATCACCAGCTCGGTGCGATGACGCCATACACGAGTATACTATAGCTCAGCTTCATGGTCGAAACAGTGCGTTGTTGCTGGGTGTTATATCGGCAAGATACCACGACGCTTCCGCGACGTGGACAACGAGCTCGACGACAGGGTTTGGTGAATGATAAATGATTACCACCTGTACTGGCCAAGTTATAATCTGAAAAAATGGAGCCTGTGGCCTGGACAACCAAACTGTCAGTGAACCGATCCCACCGGTATTCTTTCAAGCTTTTAAAGTTCATAATGGTAATCTCCGAGACTGTGGGAGAACAGAGTTAAAGCAGTAAGAGGACAGAAAAGAAAGAGAAATATACATAATCTAAATTGAGACCCTGCCTTTTTTTTTCTATCTCCTTACTGTTTTAACTCTGTTCTTCCCTAGTCTCCGAGCTTACCATCATGCTCAGTATACACCAACTAATCTTCTCTCTAAACATTTTTTTTTTTTTTTTTTTTTTTTTTTGTGCAGGAGCAAGTAAGTATGCGTTGAATTAGGGCGCCTTTTCGCAACAGCCTGGATGCCGATTTCTGTAGCTTTGTGATGGAGTTCAATTGCTTGAAAATGCACTTCTGCGCCGTTACGGGCACAATAAAGAATAGAGCCTCAGGGAGTACGGGCTGTTAATCCGACAGTTGAGCAGGAGCCAGGATATATGCGGACGAGCGGACGCCGCACCCTTCTGCAGAACAGCAAGGTCAGTCAATGAGGCACTGAACGAACTCAGGCCGACATTTCCAAGCGACATTCCTCAAGGACTAACTGCCTGGGCTTGGAGTCAAGGACTCTTTAGAGTACGTGCGTGGGACGCAGACGCAAACCGTAGACAATGGGCGCGATTAGTGCTCCCTTTATCTTATGGTCACAGATCAGCGTACGCGGTGAATAAATTCTATGCCGTCGTAGATTGCCGGAACCAAAAGCTTCCGCAACAAATAAACAAACTGTGCAAAAAAAAATCCTTTAGAATTTTTTTTTTATTTCATCGAAAAAATTAAGTGTGCATCGCCGAACGTGCATTCACCGCCAAAATCTAACGATAGCGGTTCGAACCAGATGCCAAAGTTTCAGGACTAATCCCTATCTTATTCAAAAGTTATAAGTGATTTTCTAAAAATTCTCGATGGGAAGATGGCGGCTGACAAAGCTCTCGAACGCATAGAGCTGAATGGCGCCAGTTACCAAAAACGAGGGAAAACGGGCCCCAACGGTCGCGCACCAATAATAATAATAACAATAATGTTGTGCGTATCCTTATACAGCCGGAAGTTAGTCAGCCTTAATCTGTTGTCTTAGCTGTAGATGAGAAATTTTTAGCCAGTGCGCCGGTGCTCCACTACAGTGTAACTCCACTGTACCGGCAGCACGATGCTCATCCAAATCGCCATGTCCAGTCCGTAGGCGTAGCTTCTCTACAGTGCACCAGCGCACTGTGAAAAGTGCACTCAACAGAGATAAGTAGACCGCCCGAATCAGAACACGAACCACGAGAAATATCACGACACGTCCGAGTACTGAGTCATGCTCGATATGAATATCAAATCAGTTCACGTGTTATCCTGAGTGATAACCGCAAGTACTGGAAATTCGCAGAAGCGTAGCAGTGCAGCGACGCCTTGGTTCCCAAGTTGCTAAAGTGAAATGAACTTTTTGACGCAGTGGTGGCTCAAATTCCTCACATTTTGGTGGGATGTAGCGGGGAAAGCAATTTGGTGCAAGTGCCTGAGCAATCACACCACTGTTGCTGGGAGTTTAGAGTAAAGTGATGTCACAATGTCATGTACACCGCGACGCGCCACGATTTCCCCGCTAACCTTAGCGGAAAAATTTCTGTACTAAATTAAACGGAAATTTAGTGTCGTAACGTCATGTAACGTCGCAATTTCCCCGCCATATTTAGCGGAAAAATTTATTCGCCAAAATTAGCAGGAGTTTAGCGTCACGTGATATTATGATGTCACGTTACGCTACAGTGTCACGTGGTCACATAATTTAACCTCATGGTGTCATATTACCACCGGTCGTTTGCAGGACACGGCAAGGAACTGCCGATTTCTTTGTTATATTCTGATACAGGTAACATCACATTCTCAAACTGTCGCATTCTACCATTGCGGCTCCAACGGTCTATAGGTGGCGCCACTTGTTTAAATTTTACAAAATATCGCCACGTTTAGTTTAGAATATGTGCACAAAACGTATAAATTAAAGAACACTGCTCTCCCTACAAAAACCCGAAAACAAAATCCGAGTCAGACAACAAAAGTGTGGGTGTGCCGACGAGGTAGGGGTGTGTGTGCATTTTCTTTAGAGCGCAGCTCCTAGGTGCCCGTTTCCGGGTTGAGCGACATCGCCGTCGCCGTCGGCGTAACCGCGCGATGCATTACAGGACGTCTCCCATAAAGACGTCACACGTGTGATGTCCACTAAATTTAGCGAAAAGATTTCCCGCCAAATTTAGAGGGAAAATGTTACCCTCTTGACGACACACGTGACGTACCGTGTAGGGGCGGACGAAGGTATTTCGTGGGAGGGGGGGGGGGGGGGTCAGGTGTTTCTAAGCGTATCATATGTTTAAGACTCCCCCCCCCCCCCCCCTTTCCCGTTTCCACGCCCTATATTTTTACACATGCAGATTTCAAGAGGGGCGTCAGGACGTCCGAACCTCCATTCTGAATCCGCCCCTGGTAACGTGACGTCATTATGGGAAACGTCCCATAATGCAACGCGCAGTTACGCCGCTCAACCCGGGAAAATTTTCCCGCTAAATTTAGCGGGGAACTTTTTCTGCTAAATTTAGCGGGGAAATATTGCCGCTAAATTTAGCGGGGAAATTTTTGGTAAATTTAGAGGGAAATTTTGTGAAAATTTTTCGCTAAATGGGAGGGGAGCAGGAGAGGAGGGGGAGGGGGCCATACCCTACCCTCCGTACCCTCCCCTTCTTCTGCGTCCAGTTTCAGCCGCGGGAGGGCAAGCAACGAGTTGGAGGCGCGAATACCTCACATTCCCAAGCACTTACAGCTTACCGCTATGCCTGGTTTATTTATACAAACCGAAAGACGGGGTTTCGTTGTCTCTATCGGACCCTGCAGATTTACAAAGTCCGTTTAGTAGACATGGCTTGCGCTAAGATCACGTTAACGCTTTAACCTTGGGTTGGTGGCCTCTAAAGCCATCCGGTTTGCTACAAGCACCACCATTTCAGATGTGCACCACAGCACGTGTGCAAACTTCATACCGCAACCAATAGTGCATTTAAAAGTGCAAGATTTGACTCGCACGCGCCACTGGGTCTACCCCTCGTTTCAAGAAGTCGCGGCTCTAGAGAAAGTGTTCGGGCATTCCCACTGTGCCCTAATACCGACGGTCTGCCTTCCAAAATGTTTCGTTTGACCTAGCAAACTATTGTTTTGACGGATATTAACCGTGAACGATGGGGGAAAAAATATAAAGCCCGTATATTCATACAAGCAAGCAATATAAATGTTAGCTGCCCTAAAACATGGGGTTGTACTGCTGGGTCATGTCACACAAACCTTGCTGTGATCTTGGGCACAGTGGGAAGGGGGCTGATGGAGCTTCAGGCCTTCCCACGCAGCCGATCCTATCTGCTTTATATTGTGTATTAATTTTTTACTTAATTGCTTTGTAATTAGTTTTTATGATGAGTGCATAAAATGGTCTTTGTTCCCAAGTCGGTTTTTCGCAGAACCTGTCATGTTTGTAGACGATTGCCATGCATGGCTTGTGCCTTCGTGACAAAACCAGTTTTGCGAGACAAATTTTGAGGAATTTAATTAATAAGTGATCACTTTAACAGTCAGACAGTGTTGCATTAGGCGGGGATATTTTAAAAAGACAGCATTTGCAGTATTATCGTCTCCAATTGAAATCCCAGGTGGTCGAAACTTATCCTCAGTCCTCCGGTGGGGCGTGCCAGGTGCCCGTCGTTGATTTGGCACGTAAAACCCCCAAATTTTGACTTTTTCTCCAATTGAAAAACCGGATCGGTCATCTTCAAAAATTGCAAAGTCTTTCATTCCAGGAACAACCTGGCAAAATGCCAGAAAGTGCCCCACCATGTTTCTACAACTGCCCTAAGGAGAAGACTTTCTCACAGGGATGGCGGGGGCCACATCTTATGCAATTTTTGCAAAGCCAGGAGTACTAATGTAGTGAATCATTCTCAATTCATGTCGACTTTGCTACAGGCAGTGTGTTTTGGACTCTAGGACTAAAAGAAAGAAAAACAGACTGATAACCAAAAGAACAAGTTTCATTGCAATGTTTATTGTAAGCTAAACAGCATGACAATGGTGGGTTGTTTTCAGAAAACAGCCAGAGAAATGAATCAGGAATGATGAAACCTCCAACTCCACTGTGGTATGCATTATTTGATCGCGCTGATGAAAACATGTAAACTAACGAAAAACCAAACGTGACAAATGATCGGAAAATTCGTGGCTCTGACATGAAGCAACAGATGGCCGGATCCGGTACCGGCATATTTATAAATTAAAACAAACACAGAAGGAGCAAAATATTCATAGTCAGCAACATGTCTAATTTTCAGACATATAAATACATTGGGATGAAGGAACTTACTAGGTGATTTAAAGAAGACAGTGAAACTTCCAAGTGCCACAAACGGTGCACAGACTGCATGCGTCGTCACCACGCGCATTTGTATTGGCTCTGCTTCTATATCCGCACCACTGCTCTCATCTTCCTCCTTAGCTCTTTAGATGACGAAACTTCGATGAGATGGCACTTCGAGCTTTCACTACACCAGTCTCCCAACTTCCCAGCTTACAATAAAGTCCTCACGCATCCATGCCCGCCCCCCCCCCCCCCCCCCCTTCTGCACCCCACATAAAAACATCTCACCTAAACGTCCTCTCAAGCCGCCTTTCCCAAAACCGCTGCCTCACCCCCACGGGAAGCCCAAACCAGCGCATGAGTTGGCAGAAATGAGAGCCTCCAGGGCAAATCGTGGTGCGAAAAGCTTCTCCGACATCGTCGTCGTCGCGACTCTTCAACTTTTAACGTTCTGGTCGGCGCCGTCGGCTGGGACCTCTTCGGCGGCGGTAGCCTTGGGAGGCTTCCGGGGCGGAGGGTGCGGCATCCGGTTCTCGACCCTCATCTTGACGTCGGCCGGGTCTAGGTTCTCTGTACCCTGCTCGTTGGTGTGGACCCGGGCACGGAAGCCGTCCTTGTCGGCGATGTAATGCACCGTTCGTTTCCGTCCGTCCACGTCCTCGACGATGTAGAAGCCTGTCACCCGGCCGTCGTCGTCTCTTTCCTCCTGCTGCATCACTCGGCTTCCCTGCTGGTCGTCGTTCACATAGCCGAAGGAGTATGCGCCAGTGTTTCCGTTTTCGTCCCGGCCCTGAAAGAAATTACGAGAAACGTTTTGTTCATGAGGCAAGGACAAACCTTCTCCCAATTTAAAGGAACACTGACACCCCCCAAGCTTTTTTTATTTTTTGCCAGGCGATTTCTACCCATCCAATATTTTGCAATAGTGTCACATATATTTTTAATAAAGTAAAAAAACGCATGTGCTTGAAACCGAAACCGGAATGGGAAGGAAGAAGAAATATAGAGGAAGAGAAAGTTACTAAAAGTCAAATGGCTGTGCAGCTTTTTTTTTTTTTTTTTCAAAGAACATATTTGCAGCTTTTTAGAAGCCACAAAAAATGGGTATCATGTTCATTGTCTATTTTCAGTATTGAGTGTGTGCCTTCAGAGACCCACAACGTTCATTATCTTTGGTGGTTGTGTCTAAACCATAGAAAACAGCACGTGACCACAGAAAAGAGAATGAGCATGACTCAAACCGGCCAGTGTTCGATCGGTGGTTTTCGGGCGGAAAGAAAACGAATTTCGAGCCGCAGATTGTGTTCTGGGTACTGTGGCTCTCATATGTTATGTACAAATAAAAACGTTGGCGAGCGTAAGTACCCTGTCAGTGTCCCTTTAATGAAAATTTGTGAACAACTCATTTTAAATGCATAGCATTTATAAAGGCACCTCTTGGCACTTTCGTCTTTAGAGGGAAAATGAAGACGATTTTATTTAATTTTTTTAGAGGGTGTTTTTATGCTTCTTGGGAACATAGCATGCTGCCCAATTTTTCGTAGACATTTGTGATGCGTATTTCTGTGCCTACAAAGATGTAAAGAAACTGAAACTGAACAATCTCCATTCTCGTTTCTGGGCCTCCGAAAACGGAAGTGACGAGGGAGTAACGTCAAGTGTGAATAGTCGGTATCGGTAGTATTTAGGAGATCAAGACTCTGGTTACCGCGGTGGGTTATAGCTAGGGTGTGAATTTTCCGGTTTTAACCGAAAAACACCGATAAACATCCGTCGGTGACGAAAATATAAAATCGGTTAAAACCGAAAAACACCGGTGGTTGGATATTTTCGCCCTGGTTAAAACCGAAAAACACCGCTCGTTGCTAGTTTCCGACCTAGCGAAACCCCTTCCCCGTAGAGGTTCGTCACACGTGTTATCTCGTGGATCCTGCATTCTTCCAGTGTTTATACATGGCTTGCAGGTGGCGTCAGTCCGCCCTCCTTTCTGGGGGTCAAAAGCGTCTAGTGAACGCAGTGGAAGCTAAGCTTTCATACGCCTTTCCCCTATTGTGTCTCCCATGGCCCCCTTTTGTGGAAAAAATAACGCAGTAGAGGGTAGGCTCTCACGTGCCTTTTCCTCATTGTGTCTGGCCAAGTGATGTCGGTGCAAGCCATGTATTCAGAGGTTGCTGTGGTTCCTGGAAGACACTACCAACGTCCGTGTCATACAGGAGCGTGCGTTTTCATAATTGCGGGTTGCGAACCGCAAAGAACGTGCTGCCATGACAGCAGCACGTTCCTTGCGTGTAGATGCAAGCATCTACACGCAAGGCATGTATGCTTGCATATACTATAATGCTTTCATCTACTAGACCAAGTGTGAGAAATAGTTGCTACCTAGAGAAGAAGTGTATGAACTATGTGAATAAAATTGGAACCCTCTGTCTGTGATCAATCATTTTTTTTTCACCGATAATCACCGATTTTAGCTTCGCCGTGAGACGTTCTACCGAAATACACCGGTGTTTTGAAAATAAATAAACACCGAAAAACATCCGCCGATTTTTCTCACAAATAAACACCGGAAATACACACCCTAGTTATAGCAGCGCGGTGGCGCGGTCGTTTTGTCGAATCTGTCAACATGGGCGGCAATGCCACTCTCGCGAGCGAGTTAGAGCTTCCGTACAGTGACCCAACACAAACGGAACGAAAGTATGTCTGTGGCGGCCTCCGCCATCACCCGACGGAGACCGCCCAGCCAGTAACGAGCGGCCCGCATGCCCAAGTGCCCATAGTTGCTCGTTGGCCGTTTCCCGTTTAGCGCAGCAAAGAAAAAAACAATTATGGTGTTTTATTTACGGTTTAGTAATCATTTCCGGTCCGATTTATACTTTTCATGGTTATTCAAGCGGAAATTAGAACAGTATTTCTAAAAATTGCGAACCAAAACGTGACCGAGGGCACGTTTCTCGTTTCGACCAATTGCTGACGCGTCTCTCATGACGTCGCGCTTCTTGGCCCCGCATCGGTCACGTGAGCTCCGCTTCTCCTGGCTTCTCCCGCAACTCTCGGGGCATCGCCCCAGTCGATCCCGGTACGATTATTACCGCGACTGTTTAATTGATTTGCGTGGCACACAAGCGCCGGTTTCGGCTGAAATTTGGGCAACGTGGCCTGAGACGTGCCTGGAACCCAGTTTAATCGCCAAAACAATGTCCGAAATCGACTTCATTGTCCCTTTAAAGGGGCGCTGACACCCCAAAGGTCATATTTTTTTTTATTGTCAGAAACGATGCACGCTATAGTCATTAAACATGCAAAAAAATCTGCATCTCAAAAAAAAATGTTCTGCGTGTGCGCACCTTTTTTGTTTTTGTTGATTTTCTCTCCCCACTCTTCACCTCCTCACTTCTTTTGATTCGTGATGTCAGGAATCATGGAATTTAGAAGCTTTGTATTCGGCATTTCTATAACATTTAATAACGGCAATTGTAAAACATGTTTTTTAATGCAATTGCAAACACACTACAGCCCTTCTTTTTGAAATACCAAAAATCGGAATCCGTTGTGATGTCGCATCCTGGATTTTTATCTTCCCTCGGAAAACTTGGCAGCGCTCGAACAGAGGATGATCGGTGAGTCGCATAACCGTACGAAGAAACCGGTTTCCCGGTCCGCCCGGCGCCCCTTTCCCCCGCTCCTTGCTTCGGGTTGCGGTGGTAACAGCACTTTGCTTTGTAGCGTGGAGCGGATGTGCGAAAGAAAGTCGACTCGCAAGAGATCGCAGAATTCGAGGTCACTGCACTGGCGCGGATGGCGCGGGAACTTCAAATACAGCATTTGGAAATTGTTTTTTTACTTCACAAATACTGAATTCCCAAGTTTCGAATTTTGAGGGTAATGTCCCGGCATTGTTTTCAATCGTTCCGGATAATAAGAAAAATATGATTTTGATGTGTCAGTGCCTCTTTAAGTCTGGGATGCAGCCTCGATGGAGAAGAATGTGCAGCACTGACATGTTGAGAGTGCTTCGAGCACTTATGTCCCTGCAACTGCAATGATGCTACACGGATGATGCATTTTCTTCGTTTTGTGTCATGTCCCTTAAGGCCCGTTCACACTCTTACAACCGAGTACGACCGAGAGAGACCAAACCGGTTTTTAAGCCTCTTGCGATCTCTTAGGACCAGCTCCGCTCAGCCATCCGGGCTCAAGAAGTCTTTCTCAGTCGTACTCGGTTGCAAGAGTGTGAACGCGCCTTTAGTTTGCCGTAAACAATGGTAATGGAGACGTGAATAACAATGGCAGAGACAAGGCAAGATATTGTGTCCTGAGAATCAGTAAGAGTATAATGGTACAGCTTTGGCAAGCGAGGGAATGTATGTGCGGACCACATGCACAGACGGGGCTTTAGAATGCACTACATTAGAGAGGCAAATGTTTGTGGGACTTTCCTCTCTCGTTGTTGTACACAACTGAAAGGGTGAACCAAAGGGTGTAGCCAGTGTACCAGTGCTGTTGCTGCAGAACCCTCAAAAGCTGTTTACAGACATTTGCTCTGTTGTGTATAAAGGGCATTGCCTATCATGCCAACATTTGTGTATAAGCACATCACCATTGGAGTAAAGGTTGTTCAGCGTCCACCACAAACTCCTAACTACATTCATGTAGGGCTACAATGACAATGTTGTCAGACCCATAAATAATGTCCTCAGCATGAGAACACTTTGGTGCGAGCCATGCAAGCTTCATTCTCTCAAATTCTGATATGGGGTACTCTTCTCTTTCCGTGTATCCTTGCTTGCTTTCTGGGACGTCTGGCCATGCGCACGAAATCGGTGATTAAAGTCAAACATGACGGGGTGCATAAACTCTCGATACAAAATGAGTGTGCATACAGGATACACAACTTATGAAAACAATAAACGTTGAGTGCAAATCAAAAGAATTTAAAGCAAGCGAGGATACTTCAACGCTGCCAGTGCCTCATATAGATTGCACAGACATCACATAAAAATCCACTGAAGACTAATCAATACTCAGAATGCAAACCTTTGAAAACCGCCCCAGTTGGTTGGCCAAAAGCGATTTGTACTTGTCGAAATATTTACAGTGGAGGATATTAGAAGAGCCCAAAATATTATAGGAGGTATGCAAAGAACATGTATTCTGGGATTTTTACATCTGACATTCTGCCTACATGGACTTCGCCACTCTCCTGACTGTGTTGCATCGTGTGACACGGCCAAGTTAACAGGAAAGCACGAAGCACACCAAGAAGTGCCGTGTGCAACAGATTCTGTCAACTGCTGTCAAAAAAGCTTTTTTTTAAACTCCTTTCTAGCTTATAACATCTTAGCTCTCTGTCCTCTCTCTCGTATAATCCACCAGCCAAGAGACTGAAGTCATACCTTTATGAATGTGTACGTTAAATATAACAAATGTATAGAAAGGACTCTGCTAGACCTTTTCCCCCGTTGGGCAGAAAACCGCTGCCACAGGGTGATAGATATTGTTTACTTACAATGCACCATTATGCCGTCATGGTGCAGCCTAAAGAGGCAGTTTCTTTGACAGTGCAGGTGCTTGGGTGGTGTCCCACTGACGAGCGTCGTGTCAATCGTTTGTAGAAATGCCCACTAAAACTTTCTAATCAGGTAAACCTAATGCTTGTGATAAGTGTACATCAGTGGAACAGCATCCAAGGATGAGATAAGACTAGTTCACAAACACTGACTACATTGGGGCCTTCACCGCTCTAACGATGAGTGTTACACTAGTGAAGTCGTCAAACCGTGTGGCGTCATTCACGTGCATGGGGCGCACAACAACCAGTGACGGCTCCTGCCTCTATATGTTCTGGATCAGCATGGGCCTCCTCTCCTAGGACATGAGTGGTTCGAGCACCTCAACCTGAACTGGAAAGTCATTCGTGGTGGGCGCCAACTCGAGGATCACGGCTCCAGCGCTGCTAAGCCCAGTGCATCGGAAGATTCGGAATGTCTTCTTGAAAAGTACAAGCACAACTTCAACAATGAACTGGGGAAGATCCAAGGGGAAAAGGCTTTCCTCGTGTCGAAAGGTGACCGCTCAAAATTTCTGAAGGCACGAAATGTCCCTTTTGCGCTTCATTCCACTGTTGAAGAAGAGCTCAAAAAGCTTCAAGAGCTCGGAATCATCACGCACGTTGCTACAAGCAAGTTTGCCACTTCAGTAGTCCCGGTCATTAAGAAAGACGGTTCTATACTCTTCTGCGGAGATTACAAGACAACACTGAGCCCCGTTCTTGACACAGATCAATACCCGCTGCCTCAACTGGACGAGAATCTCACAGCTCTCACCCATGGTTACTACTTCTTGAAGATCGACCCTGATAGGGCCTATCATCAAGTCGAAATGGCGGACAACTCCAAGAAGTTTTTAACATTAAACACTCACAAGGGCCTTTTCAGCATGAACTGCTTGCCGTTCGGCGTGGCGTCGGCACCCGCCATCTTCTAGCGTGTTATGAATAACATGCTTAAAGACTTGCCAGGCGTTACATACTGCCTTGATGACATCTTGATTATTGAAATTACTCACGCGGAACACATCACAAACCTAGAAGCGGTGCTCCAAAGGTTGTCAGAACGCGGTGTATGCATCAAATGCAGCAAATGTGTGTTTCTTTGCGACCGCCGGTAGTACCTCGGACGCATCATCAGTGCAGACGGGGTGCAGCCAACAACCGAGAAGATTGAAGCCTTGCTCAAAGCTCAAGCTCCGACTAACGTCACACAGCTATGCTTCTTGGTGGAACTGATTAACTATTATGGCAAATTTACAACACACCTTGCAAAGCTGGAACATCCTTCCTACAGGCTATTTCGACAGATCGTCAACTGGTCGTGCGACTCTGCATGCTGGGAAGCTTTTGATAACATCAAGTCGGCTCTGTCGTCTTCTCCGGTCTTGGTCCACTACGACCCTAAAGCACCGCTGCAGTTGGCATGCGATGCGTTGACTTACGGCCTCGGCGCTGTTCTGTCACGCGACGTCCGACGGTACGGTGAGACCAATTGCGTACGCTTTTTATACCTTTACTCAGGCTTAAGAAAAGTACAGACAAATTGAGAAAAAAGCACTGGCCCAGGGCCCGTTTGCTCGAAGCCGGTTAGCTTTAACCGCGGTTAAGCCCTTGCCTACTAGGTACCTACAAGTACCTAGAAAGTTTGACGAGGGCTGAATGAGCGATAGCTCCGTGTTTTATTATGGGGTGGTAGCTGGTGTCACCTACTGGCTGTAGCGAATATACGTGGCTTCCGTGGAAAGGTTCCCGAAATAGGGGGACCCAAAAAATGCGCGCTGCCTCGTTTTAGCGACGCAGCGCGGCATACATTTGAGCTTCAGAAACAATTTTTATTGCTCGTGGTACAAATAATCGGCAAGGTAAAACTAAATTAACCCTTGTTTGGAAATTTTCTAAATATTTGGCTGCATGAAGTGAAGGAAAGCCTCGTTAAAATTTCCTTGCAAGTTCGAAAGAGGACGACGAAGTTGAGTCCTAGGAACAATGAGAAAGAAGTGAGCAGTGAAAGGCGTGCGGTACACCGGCAGCATGCATGGTTGGCCAGCATGTAGGAACCGTATATATAACACCGTCATAAATTGAAAAACCTGTAACTCGGCTCCACTGAAAATTGACCTAGTAGTAAATTACCCGAACATCGAGAAGAACGCTGGAAGTGCAATTCTACGATCCGCGCGCGCTGGCCTTCCGCTTATAAAAGATTTGAAGTAAACAATCATAATAAATCTTTGACGAACGCGCGTGCACGGCAAAATTTGTTTTAGGCGTTTTGCTTCCGAACAGTTATTACTGCAGACACTAGCAGGTGCAGCGCGTGTAACTAAACTCGTAGCATGCACCTCGGTGCTTTTTAAATTTAGCAAAAGGTCTATGGGAACGCTCTCTGCTTTTGTGTGCTATCAATACCCGGCCGATTGGGTCAAGGCAATCCACTTTCCAAAGACGTTGCCATGCCGACAACTATCGCATTCATTTAGGCTTAGGAATGGCCAGAGTCGAAAGTCTATCTAAAAAATGCGGCGAGGTCATTGCTCATGTTTTGCGTTTTAAGTGAGGTAAAGCAACGCGAAAACCTCCTGCACCATTCATTGCTGACTCACTCGCCCGCTACTGCAGCTACTACGACGTATTAGCTCCACAGCGAGCGGCGCTCACTCACCGGGCACCGCCATGTTTCCCCGCCGTACTCACTCTGCCGGTCACGTGACCCAAAGTTCCCCCTCGTAGGGAAATCCGGTTAACCGCGGTTAGTTAACCAGCTTCGAGCAAACGGGCCCTGGTGTTTGGTCTGAAGAAGTTTCACTTCTACGTCTACGGCCGCAGCTTCACTTTGGTCACCGACCATCTGCCCCTGCAGCGCATTTTTGGCCCGAAAACTGGCATACCTGCCATTGCTGCTGCCAGGCTACAGCGTTGAGCAGTCAACCTTTCCACGTACAGGTACAACCTGCTTTACAAGACGCCTGCCAACAACATGGATGCAGATTGCTTTTCACGGCTCTCGGTCTTTTTCACGGCGGAGGAACAAACAGATGAGGAAGTTTTCTACACACTGAGGCTGGATTCCGTGCCAGAGACAAGTCAAGAGATTGCAAGGCGCACCACCCGTGATTCCACTCTCCGGGTAGTACTCGACTTCACACGGAAAGGTTGGCCATCCTACATCGACAACGCCAATCTCACGTCATTCTTCCATAGACGACATGAACTAATGGTTCATCAGGGTTGCCTGATGTATGGCATGTGTGTTGTGGTGCCACCCAAGCTTAGTCAACTGGTCATCAGGGAGCTGCACAAGGGTCACCCAGACATTGTCCGTAGCAAAGAGCTGGCCGGCAGCTACGTCTGGTGGCCATCCGTAGACAAAGACCTCGAGACTCAAGTAAAGCTCTGCCGGGGGTGCCAGCAGCAACGGGCATCACCCACAAGAGCTCCTTCGCATTCCTGGGTGTGGCCGTCAAGACCATGGCAACGGGTACATTTGGACTTTGCGGTTTCTTTTCGCAACTGGATGTTCCTTGTAGCTGTCGATGCCCATTCCAAGTGGCCTGAAGTTTGCCTGACGTAGTCTATGATTGCTGCAAGCACAGTTGCCCAACTACACCAATTCTTCAGTCGACATGGTCTTCCGGAAACCATTGTCAGCGACAATGGTCTGCAATTTACATCCGAAGAGTTCCATTCTTTTCTCAAGCTGCATTGTGTGCGCCAAGTTCTGACCATGCCATACCATCTCAGCAGCAACAGACTCGCAGAACGTTGCTGCTTGAAAGGTGTTGTGGTAGGCCAGCAAGTTTTTGCTGGCCTGCCACATCACCCCTCATGCAACTAAGCAGGAGACTCTGACCTCCTGGTCTATGGGAAAAGCCCTTCAGATGCACCTGGATGCTATGGAACCATCACTCGAAGCTTTGGGTTCTGGACGACAGTTCCAACAATTGCCTCATCAGGGAGGTGTGGACATGCCATTTCCAGAGAAAGACTGTGTCCTGGTGCGCAACTTCAGACGGTGACCCATGCAACGGTGTTGAAAAGAACTGGGCTTGTTTCTTACACGGTACAAGTTACCACGTCGCAAGCAGTGCATAACTGGCAGAGGCATCGCGACCACTTATTGCCAGCATCACCCTCCACAAGCAAGGCTGCATTTGAGTTGGATGATGAGCTGTCACCTGTATTGCTGCCACCTTTCAAGGACAAGCCAGCTCTCGTAGCGCCAACAGCAACATCAGCCACCATGGCAGCACCGACAGCAGCACAGATAAGGGGACAAGTGACCTCCGCGGAGCTGTCGCCACCACGCTACCCACAGAGGACCCGGAAACCACCCGACTGTTTCAGTCCCAGTGAACTGTTCTCGAATAAAAGGGGGAAAGTGTCGCGTTTCCGTCTCTGTTTGCTACTATCAGTGCCCCTGATAAAAGGTGCAGCAAGCTGCCGACCCGCAAAGAAGCTTTTCCTCAGTCACATAATAAAGATTGCTCCCGAAGGATGAAAACTCGTCTTCTTCTGGAGACCCGCCTGCACACAACACTGGACTACATATTTCTGCTTCCAACGAAGGTGAGCAATGTTCACATACCCGCTGGTCGTAGTTGCGAGGTTGGACGTCGTCTATGTCTTCTGGTGCCCCAAACCCTTCCCTGGCTAGTTGCTGGTCCTTGCGCTGTCCAAGGTCCTGGTTGTTCAAGTTTGGTACAAGGGGGGCCTGGTCCCTCCCAGCATCAAACTGTAAATCAACAAACAGGAGTAACGGGTCACGTTCAAAGAAACCTCGGATTGAACAAAAACAAAGTGTAACAGTTAGAACAGCCCCACTCATAGTAAGCTACTGTCCCACATAACCCCACTTTTAACATGGAACGCGTTGTAAGGCTTGCACCTAACCATTTCCATCCCGCAACCGGGGACGGAAGTCGACAAGCCGACTGCCAGCCGAATGGTGGCACAGCGCTGTCTCCTCGACATTGGACATCAGTGCCAGCCAAATGTCTTCCTCAAGTGCCTCTGTGTTATTCCCGGCGGGAGGAAACATTATATGTTCAGACATGCAGCTGCGCTCTGCTCCATGAAACGAGCCCGCTTTAGGCTTCCCCGAAGAAAGAGTGCAAGAAACAGTGACAGAAAAGCAGAGAAGACACATGGCGTGCCAATGGGGCACCATGCAGTCGTGCGGAGACAAGGACGGCGATGCCACCCGTTGGGAGCAGTGACCACCGTTGGTGACTTGGTGGCGAGGTGCCTTCCAAAGTGTGTGTGCCCTTACGGTCAAAACAAATACACGTCTTGCAAACTCCTGTATATATGGAACGGCAGTGATATAGTGATGGTGGTTTTCAAACTATTCTTCAAGATGTGATGAGATGACGCCACCACCAACACTCTATAACGCAAGGTAAACGACGAGCGGCTGGCACTCAGGTGGCATACACCACTTTACCACCGCCCCTTTATTCTAATCTAAGCAATTATGTGCACTACCATTTGTGCGATCCAGTCTCCACATGCGTACACAGTTTCTCTGCACCAACACATCACTCCCTAGCTACAGTAGTTACTTCAGAGGGGCTACTCTTTTTGTTTTGTAACCTTACATCCTCTGACCAGGTTTGCTGCATACAGCGAAAATATAATTTTTTTCTTCTCCAAAATGGAGGTTAGTTTTTTTGTGCACTTATAAAACTGTAGTAGAGAAGGGACAGAATGCGAGCAAGTTACTGAAAAACATTGGATGTGAGCTGCAAGCCTCGCGGACTTGTTTGCTAACATGAGCACGAGCAGCGTGTGAGGCATGGCCTGAGCTGAGGGTGCATGTCTTGGAGCTTCTAACGGGAGATGACGAGGGCCGCGCCATCAAACCGAAAACCAAAGCACTCAAAAATTGTATGTTAAAGAAACGTGTGTGGCACTGAAAGAAGCAAATGAGAACTTTCGAAATACTGACTCCGAAATCTAAGTCAGCACACCTTGGAGGGCCAAAGCAGAACGACAGCAAGCCCTCGACTTTTTCGTCGTCTGTCGGTAACACATCCAAGTAGGCGAGTGCCGTCTGTGCAATGCAATGTAGATTGCCTAAATCCGGTCTTTTTTTTTTCTTTTTTTGATTGGAGTAAGCTTATCCACTTGCGTTTTTTTACACGCACTCGCATACTAAATTGCAGCACGAGAAGTTGAGAAACAGATATTTCGCGGTCCATATAAAGAGCAATAACTCCATCGGGCCCACACTGCACTTTGCATGCCGGCACTACCGCGCATGTCAGCCTGCACACAAGTGCCATAAGATGTTCCACAACATTGACAATTGCTAAGATCCTAGCACACATCACAAATTCTGCTACTTTCGTGCTGCCTAAGAAAGTAACATCATTTGAGTAAATACGGTACATGCTAGAGTCACTGAACAAGCTACACTCAAGAGTAACGACGCTTCAGCCGTTTTGGCGCATAAAATAATTGTTGACAGGTTATATGAAGCTTCATCTGAAATCATATAAAATGGTTTTCTGTCATGTTTCTCGAGATCAGAGAAAGGGTTCTTCGAGAGCGAGACAAACTTTGTCTCCCTTACCCGAGGTCCGGGCGTACCACGGAAACGGCCCCCCACAGGAAGCCCATTGCGGCCCGTGACCGGAGTGTTGCCGACCCTTTGGCTGATCGCGAGAGGGGTCCGAGTGGGTCCCACGGAGGGCGGACCCCCTTCGTACGAGCCGTCAACTCCGGCTTGGGCAGCACGATCCTGAAAAGCGGGTGCGGCGACGTCGAGTGCCGGATAGTACAAAGGACGGGGGCACGATTTGCGACGGACCCAAGATCTGCGAACTTCGGACCCGTCGCAAAGTCGTGCGACAAAATATGGGCACGTATCTCCCGTCGGTCAGAAGATCCGATCGCTGCACCCATAACGGGCCAAGTTGGGAACTGAGCAAAGGGAAACAGCAACGACGCAAAATATTTGTTTTTGTTTCAGATGCAGCACTCGGTCGACGTGACCCGATGCTGCGTCAACGATCGGCTAAGGCTAGCGTTCAATCGCAGAGGTGCCGACTGAACACGAGTCATCGCAGTCGAGTGCTCGCGCAACACTCGTGTATGATCTGCGCCTGCAGCTCAACCGAGGAAGACAACGCAAGGAATCTAGTCCACGGGCCTTGTGTTGGGTAAACACAGAGCTCCATGAAATACGAGCTGGACAAAACGCTCCCCATCGTTCGATCTTCTCTCTGATACAAGGCGTTTCGCTAACAACTGAGAATACTTTCTAAGAAAAGGGCAGTTTAAAGAAAGAGACCATGCCTTCAGTACAACGTTATCGGGCGTGGCAGACGTCACGTAGAGAGTGTAAAGTAATAGTCTAGGTGTGCAAATTCCGACCGCAGCACGGCATGTTTTTGCAAAGGGCAACGCATCTCTAATCGGAACGAGCCAGCTAAGTATTGTTCAAGAGTTAATTAGTGCATCTCGGTTAATTCGTTTGCGTATTATCCCTTTACACTCATTGTCCGACGGCTGCCATGGTCGATAACGTTGTTCTGAAAGCTTGTTCAATCATTGCAACTGCCTCTCTTTTTATTTTTAAGAATAATTCTCAGTCGCTGGTTTAAAGGGGCACTAAACAACTTTCTGCCATAGTCTATTTATGTTAACAACTCAACCTATGGCCTCTAAGCATGCTAATAAACGAAACATTACATTCATCCATGGCACGAAAAAGGGCAGAGCCCTGGCCTTCCTCGTGCAGTGGCGCCTTCTGGTGTCAGCGACAGTTCCAAGGAAATCAATCTTTTGATATTGATTTTAACAGAGAAATTGGTCACTCATGATAGTAATGTTTGGTTTTTCAAAGATGCTTAAAGCCTGTAGATGGAGTTATAACCATGAATAAACTATTGCAGAGAGTGGTTAAGTGCCCCTTTAACACCGCATTAGTAGGTCTCATGCAACTTGCACTTGCATGAGAGCAGTATGTGATACACACAGTATTAATGAGTCTAACCAACTCTACTTGAGGTAGCTCCAAAGCAGTGTGCATCTTTGAGTGCGATTTGATGCAATGCTTCACATTCACTGACTGCACCAGCCCTGTTTCCTGTTGCAGACTAAAGGAACTTGGAGGGTGTCAAAAGGAACATTGAAATATGCACTGAAATACAGTAATCCCTCGTTATAACGAAGTCAACCGGATGGCAAAAAAATTCTATATAAGTGGTAATTCGATAAAAGCGATAGAGCCGAAAAAACAGTGCCAGCAGGCTTGAAGGTGAACGGGAACACTACGGCACACTCTAGCCGTATATTTAATCAAACAAACCTTGGTTAAGAACATGTTGTGGCCGCTTCACTGAGTAAAAAAATAATTAAGTGGAGTTTGCCAATAATTTCATCCAGGCATCAGTTCTCCTCGAACTGCTCCAGGCATCAGAAGAACACAGTCACCGCCGCTGCACTCCACTTTGTTTCGAAGCAGCCGTAGGATGTTTCGCGTCTCCGCAGTCGTTGGCGTTTCCCGAGGTGCCTCTCCGATGTCGCTTCGTGTTTACCCTGGCCGTATGCAAAGGTCTAGGATCGCAGCATACGTGGCAGGAGCACCAACAGGAATGCCCGCGTTGACAAGCACGAACAAATTAAAGTTATCCTCGCTGGTTTTGCCAACATGTTTTTACACACTTCTGTAGAGATCATTGCAGCTCTGGGAATCGTGAGCCGGCTCGGCAAGCATCCTCGCGAGAAAAAATTTGACGGTCGCAAAGCAGTTGGCCATCTTTCGTTTTCGAGTCGCAGGTGCACTTTCTCTTGCATGAGAAACTTCTCGAACCCGTCCAATACCTTGCTTGTTCTGCAAAATGATGGACAGTGTCGAACAGCCGGAATGTTAAATTCTTAAGCAATTTCGAGCTTGAGCCGGCCACTTTTCTCAACCTCGCAGATCTAAACAACTTTCGGTAAACACTCCCAACCTCCCATATGACGCACGTGTGGACCTGCAGGCACGTGCGTCGGGGGCTCCCAAAGGGATAATCGCCTCTGGGCTCCATCGCTCCCTTGACCCTATTCCGAAAGTAGTTGGACAGCGTCGGTTGCAAGTGCCGCGAGTGGCGTCGGAACACGGGGACGCAGGCAGCTCTGCCCGCGTCCTTGTGTTGGCGCATCGGCATCGGAAGCGGCGGTCTGCATGCTCTGCCCTCTACCACTCATTTACTCTGTTTTCTTGTTTGCACTTTTCACGGTCTGTCGTTTGCCTCGGCGGAGAAGGGGGAGGGAATGCAAGGGTCTCAGTGCGCTTCTGCTTGCATACTTTCGGCATTGTGGCCTTCGTAATGAGCGTGGTCGGCCGTCGATACACTTAGAATAATCCGGTTAAAAATGCGTGCATTTCAATTGGGACCATGTTGAACTTCGATAAAAGCAATAACTCGAAAAAAGCGATTTTGTATTACAACAAGGAATTAGTGTATATGTTTCAAATTATTTCCATCCATTATCCCACGAGTGAAAATACAGTCTAAGCTCATTATAACAGACCTGGTTACAACAGACATTTCAATATAACATACCGATTTGTAAAGTTCAGTTGGTTTTCCTCTACATACCATTGATTTAACTTCATATCTGCCATACAACATACTCCTCTTACAACAGACCGAAATCTTGGTCAAAATCAAAGTCTGTTATAACGAGCTTCGACTATACTTCTACAGTCATTAGTTTCAGGGAAACACTAAATGTGTTTTCCAAACAGCTACCGTGAAATACCGGGCAAGCGCCCACTCAAAATTTAGAAATAATCGAGAAAAAAGGGGATGGGCGTTTGTCCAATCATCCATTTTACATATACTAAATGTACTGTGCGTATTTTCTCAGATCTTACAAATTTGGGAATGGGCGCTTAGTGTGAAATGAGCGGATGTGCGGTATTCTAATGGTAGTATGTGAAGCTATGTCCTATTTCCAGTAATCAAAATCATACAGGAATATGAGGAATTTCAAAGGTTGCTTTCAGTACACTACATGAGTGTTATGATGTGAAGCCAACTTGACACAATAGGGGTGCAGGATTTGCCTATTGAAAAGGGTTCTTCAAGAACTCTGTAAGAAAGGTGGATATGTAGAAGACAGAAATCATGCATGAAAACTATAAGCATAGGTATCTGCGCAGATATGATGTCTAGGCAGATTTGAAATCTACAGCCTCCTGCTAACTTACCTAAAGAAACTAAGAGGCAAGTTTTATCACCATTGAACAAAAAAACTGTCAGCTTTTCCACTCTGGTGAAGATGGAAGACCAGCAAAGCTGTACTATGGTGGGATTGAAGTATTTATAAAATCTGTTCAGCCAGCGTGGCATCCTGTCGTCGTCGCCGGGCCTTGCGCTTGCGCTTGGCTTTCGTGGCACGATTGTCGTCCGTGGCGTTGGCCCGCCGGCGCCGGTCACATCGCCGCTCCAGTTTTCGGCAGCGTTCCAGGCGAGCGATCTACTCTTCTTTTGCAAGGAATTCGGAACCATTCGACGAAGTGGAACTCGAGGCGATAGCCATTTCACGGCGTTTGCGCGGCCATTCACCCTGCTCCGCACGTCGCCGCTCCTTGCGCTCCCGCTCTTCTTCCTCCAAACGAACGGCATGCAGCCGACCCATCGTGAGTCCAAAAGGCAACTGATAAGAGCGCTAGCGCGATCTCAACGTCACGGGACACAGGACACACATGATTGGTAGATGAGACAATGACGTAGGGTGACGGTGAACTGGCTCGAATTTTGTGTTGACAAGCCGCTTGCCCGCGGACACAATAGTGGGGTAACTAGCCCCTAACAGCTTTGCTGTAAAAATTTTAACATTAAAAATTAAATTTCTTATTTCAACCTCAGTTTTCACTTTTTCCTCACTTTTGCATCAATTCATGTGTACTCATGCTGTAAACTGGATGGCATATCATGACATCATGCTCCACAGCATCAGTTTTAAGAAGCAGACAACATGGTTTTGCTAGTGTCCATTGTGCCCATCTCTTTTTCCTTTCCCCCTGTGAGATTTGTAACAAGTGTTTAATGTCAGTAGAATGGCTACATCAACGACTCGGGTACAACCGACGCCACGAGCTCAGGTGCGCAAAGGAACAAAGGCACATAAACCCGTGCACAGGGTCGCTACAATCAGACCTTACTCTTTGAGTGATCAGTGTGGCCAGTTCTGGTAGGAACCTATATTCAGTTTCTCCTAAACTGACAGTGCAGTGGAAGCTACATGCTCATTGAAAGAGTCAAATGCCTACCCTTCACCACATAATGGCGCCCCTGTCCCATACCCACGCGCAGACAGAGGGGTCTTATGACAAAGGAAAGGTGGTTGATTGGCCCGGCGAGTCCGTAGCTCCTACTGCGCTTTCAGCCTAGGGGGGAACAGAGTACAACACCCTTTCCCCTTCCAAGACATCCTTGTATGCTTGACCTTGGTCCCACTTCATACATGGATTGCACTGACGTCACATTGTATATGTTTGACCACCATGCAAGAGGAGATGGAAGCTGCTTTTGAAAGAATTTTGAAAGGGTTAATCTTTTACAATCTTCTGGGAGGAGAATAGCAATGTCTGTGCAAATCCGGGAGGTGCAAAAGAGGATCCTGATAAGAGGGGAGCTCCCTTTTCCCCCCTTCTCTGGCAGTCATCGGAGCGCTCTTTGAATGATACCACGTGCAACCCAAGGAGGTTATAAGTACTAGGAGGGGGCACGTTGCAATATTGGTTAAGCCCAATCATAAAAATTTTAAACGATTTTGTGCCCAGCATGACCACAGATCTCTCTAGCGACTGGTGCGTGTGACATGTCATGTGTGAGATGGATGGTTGATTGTAGGACTCCTCTTGCAGGCTTGCGCACGCTCCGTCCGGTAGGTTTTATCAGATCGAAGGCTAGACTGTGGTGTATTCTAGTACCCCCATAGCAAAACGAAGGCTAGCTTCGGTCACGTGATGTGGTCACGTTGGCATGGTAAGCGAGGAGAGTAAGGAGGAAAATGAGAAAGAGGCGAAGCGTCAAGGGAACATGGCTTGTGGAGGCTACGCGGCCGACGTCATGCCCTCTCCTACCCTTCTATCCTCCTTGGTGCAACCCATGTATAGTCAGTGACAGGTCAAGAACAAAGTGGAAGCTTCTCCCACCTCTTTCCATTTTAGCAGAGCGCACGCTGGAGAGGAGGACTATAGTTCATAGCTTTTCCCAACTCTACTGTAAGGTGTAGGAAGCATAACATTGCACTGAATCTCTCACCTGAGGGGCTTGTGGCAACTGTTGAGAGGTTAGATCGGGTCCAACGTTTCCTACCCCGGGAAGGATCCCCTGTGCCGTCCTTCCGTCATTTCCTTGCGTGAGGGAGAAGCCTGGGCGCCGTCTGCTGTCCAATCGGCGGGGGCCTCCAAACACGCTCGGAGGACGCCCATTGAAGCCAAAGTTTTGACCGAAACCTGGTCCCTGCAGAAGGGCAGAGTGGATGTCAGCTTCACAGTCCAAAGTCGTGGCTACGCAAATGAATGCAACATTGAGTAGTGTTGAGAGGGAAAAGGAAGCTCGGAACAAGGCTTAGGCTGTTTTAAAAAAATGTTTCTCTCTCAAACGTACATAGATAGTGAGCCTCAACAACTAAGCAAAGACATCAGATCATGAAATTCACTAAATTGCAAGAATAGACAGATAGATACATTTCTTTCTGTTTCACATGAAAACAGAAAGAAACATATGCAACATTAAAAATCATTCTCGTAAACTATATCTCGAAACTAATGATGGATTTGGGGCGTACTACAATAAAATTCACTTGTAATGATATATTGCTTGTAAAAATCAGTTTCTATAGTCTGTGACATGTTAAGAACGCAATAGAAGCTTTGCCTCGAGTGCGAGATTTCTGCCTATGATAATACTTCGTTGCATGCGCAGCCAAAGCCAGGCGAAAGGCAACGAACAGATGCTAGAGGCGGAGATTCCTTCTAGGTTCTTAAACCTGTCACTGACTAAAGAGAATAATACATTTTTGCTTTGGGGCTATGTCAAGATCAAACCCGCATAGTGATGGAATATCTTAAGCTTACTGAATACAATGATCAAAACTGTTTGGAAAGTATTTCTCACAAACATCCGACAAGAAATTAAACCGAAAATTAAAAAAAGCCACAGGGCAAACAATGCTAACCTTGCCTTAAACAGACGCCAATGGGTGCTTATCAAATTCACTGCAAGCAGTCACTGTATGTGGCCTGAAGGCTAGCCATTATTATAATCATCAGCATTGGTCATATTTTAAAGATGACAGTGGCAAAATGAATGCTGAAACAAGGACACAACTCAAGTACTGGTAGTTTCAATGGAGGTGAAACAGAGCACGCTCTAAGATTTGTGTCAAGGTTTCTAAGTCAAGAACCTTCTCCAAATCTCATACAAATGTATGAGCCAGCCCCCCTTTCCCCCCTCCTCTCCATCATTCTTGCCACCGTGTCACCTCGTAGCAATAACGCAGGCTCATGATTGTGATGTCTGCTGCCACTGTTGATGGCGGTGGTCACGACGATGTCAATGATATCATCAATGAAGGTCCGTTCCTAATTCCTAAGCGAGGAGCTATATTATTGCGATTCAAATACAGATTGGTTTCTTGCACAGAAAGACTACGGATGGTAAACACACAGTGACTTGATGCGGTGTACACCAGGATAATATCGTATTTTTTACACACAATTAACTCAATTCATGCACTATTTGAGCATTATTAAATTAACAAAGTGCTTTTTCGAAGCAGATATTTTATGAAGTGATAAACTTGCTGCAAGTGAAGGCAGGGAGTTATCACTTCAGGTACTTTTAAAGATCAGTCCAGGTTCAACACTATTTGGTTGTAACAACTAGATTTTGCAGATTTCTCATTATTATAAATTGCACTGTACACCTGTAGCACCATAGACATTTAGGTTGGTGACAACTTTGGCTGAGATGCAACAAAGTTGAGAAGCAACGGAGAAAGCATATGGTGTTTTCCTGCACACATTGTATTAACTTCAGCTTCCCTTCACAGCACACAGAAGTCAGTCATTTACATTCAAATGGTGGGGCCTCACTAATATTTGGGCTATACTCCGCGACAACTTTTCTTGGCAATGCAGTGGAAGGTATGTCCCGCGTCCCCTCTCCCATTTTGAGTGTACGCAGGCTCTCCTCCTCCCCCATTTCCGAGGAGAGGAGAGCCTGCGTACACTCAAAATGAGAGAGGGGACGCGGGACGTACCTTCCACTGCATTGCCAAGAAAAGTTGTCGCGGAGTATAGAAGATAGTACAGCATGCACATGCAATGTTTGCTAGTCAAGAGTAAAAGTCAAAGACAAAATAAAATAAAAGAGGATCCAACATTGCTCTTTACCTCTACATTCAATAGGAAGAGAAGACCATTCAAAAGAGGTGTCATGAGCATCAGGTGGGTGTTCATTCACCCTTTGTGCATGAGCTCTTCATGAGCACTGCATTCATTCAACATCCAAGTGCAAAACCTGTGCCTGACCCGCAAGTCTGGTGTGCCGGCTTCGTCACGTCCTCCCAACTGTGCCTCGCTGTCCCTGCCAAACGATGTTCCTTGCTGCTGGTTTCTCGGTACACCCGGCTGGAAGGGGCCACCCGGGACAACCACTGGAGCTAGCTGCCCGTTCCATCAAAAACAAACAAAAAGTTTACTCAGTCAGTGAATGTAACACAATTATAAAAAAGGGATCCCAACACAAACTGACTGCTATTCTTACGTAAATCTAAGATGCCCCAAAAGCTAGCAAGCTGTGAGTTCCTTATACAAACTTTTTTTAAACTGCAAAAAAGAAAAAAGACAAAGATAAAAATATATATATGTTTTTTTTTAATAGCTCGCGTGCTCCGAATGTGCCCTTCAAAGCAAGTATTATTTAATCTACCACTTGACAGAGGCAAGATATAACTGACTTAATCGGCAATAACTTCAAAATCGAAACATAATGTGATCATTTTTTATGCAAATTTATTACTCTCAGCTCACAGGATCTATGTGTGCACCTAAAGAAATTCAAGGGACATATCGACAGCATGTTTCCCCCCATTGCAGTCATGCTTCTCTGCAGTGCAGGGCTCCTAAGTGTGGAGACATATAGACAACAGATTATAAAGCAACATGCAGCCCACTAGTAGACTATTTCTGAATTATTGGAACTCGTACCAAGGAGCATGTTGGGCACGTAGTTACATGTGCTGCACGTGCTGGCGTGTGCGGAAGTAATTTTCTTGAAGCAAAAATTTAAAATGGATAACACTTCCCATGTGCAATAATACACACCTCACTTTAGTCGTTTACTTCGAACCTTTCCTACATAGAGGGGCAGCAAGTGCACCTACAATACAAACCCAGCCTGCTTTTTGGTGTTCCAATAATCTAGCAAATGGCATCTTCCAAAACTATCCTTGCCAGCACCAGGACAGGCCCGTGGTAATGCACTCAAATGCGAGGTTTGACCTTGTGCCGCGAGAGGTGGCTTGACTTTGTTTTCATCACGCAACAAGTACACTTCGGTACTGCAAATATGGTGTCTTCACGACCTCCAACAGTAGAGTCACCCAATCAGTACCAAGGAGATTTTAAAAGGAAATAAATGCGGGGTAGAACACATACGTCGCAATATAAACTTCCCCCAAAATGGCGGAACGTCCAGGTTGCTAGACATATTGCGAGTCACGTGAGATTTCGAAACATATGCTTCTGTTTCGAGAAGCCAACCCCAAAATAGGGAAGCGTGTTTCGGAATAGAGACATTGAAGTTCAAAAGGACATTTTTATGTGATAGGATACTTGTCACAAAATAAACTGTTCCCCCCGTTTCCTTCCTCCACCCCTTCCCCTCCTCTCATCCCCTCCCCCTCTTTCCTCCCCCCCTCCAAAAAAAAAAAATTTTAAGCGCAATATTTACATTGCGAGATTATTTTTGAGTTGGGAGCCATTTTAAAACATTCTTCTGTTTGAAAAAGTCGGACAGCATGCTTCAGAATCACTCAAATGAGTCTTGTGATCCAGGCAAAGAAAAGAAATGGTTATTGAGAGTTCAGCATCGTTTTCATGAGACGTGACGTGATGTGTAAGGAAAAAGTTTGAACTGATATTTCTTTTCCCAAACAATAACTTTAAAATATGGGCATTGATCACTCTTTGACAATTTGTATCAACAAAACCGGCAGTTTTTCATTGAATGCCTCTCATGCAAAATAATTGTTTTATACTGGAAATGGACTCGCTAAATGAGAACTTTGGATTGTGGTGTTGCAACATGTGGCAATGACGTTCCGTGCTCATCAATGCTTACTTGTGAAATTAAATTTCTCAAGGTGGCACTGATTCTATTGAAATATAGTACTACAATAGCATGTATTTTCCAAATTTTTTACAGATTTAGCATTTTGGGCGCATTGAAATGTAATCTTTCTGTTATGCAAAAGCCACAGAAAAATGTCACAGATTTTTGGAGGTCCTCACAGATCAGCAAGTATGAATGACTGACTGCATGCATAGCATGGGAGATGTGAATGATGGCAAGGAACATTCCCAGTTCTATGACATGTCACCAAAATGTAAGTGTGAGTGATCTAGAATAGGACTTCTTTTAAAGGTTCATAGGAATCAAAATGACAATTCCGATAGCAAACACAGTGGCATCTGCATTTTTCACCAATTTTCTCGTTCAATTTTCGCTCCATCTGTTTGAGCCTTTCTAGCAGGAACAACAGGCACTAATGTGGATACTTCTATTGTGATCAAGCGAGCTTACACTGCAGCAATAAAACGACACACTAAACAGATAATCCTGATGCTTGTTGATTCTAAGCTTGCCCCTGCAGACCCAGCCACAGTACGTTTCGACTTAAACACTCACAAGGTGCCCGAGTCATAAAGGCACATAGTCTAGGAAGTTTACTGTGGTCATGTGGACCACTTTCATACAACACAGACATAGAGCATAAGACTTACAGGCTGTCCACGGAAAACTGCCTGCGGGTTTATACCAAAGGTGTTGGGAGTGCCAGGAACTGAAGCTCCACCTTCCCCAGGCTGTTGATCCTGTATAGAAAAAAAATGGCACAGATTGTTTTAAGAAATCAATTCAAACATCATCCATATATTAAACATACTCTTTATATTTGACAAGAAGGAGTTCTTGAGATGAAGCTGCACCCCAATAAGACATGCCACGTATCATAAACTCTTCAGCAATGTCAGTGCGGTAATTAGGGCAGCACTAGCAACGCAGGCTCAACGACCTCATTATGAGCGTATGTTTTTTTTTTTTATCAGAGTGGTAACATTTTGACGGTAGTCGCCGCACGTGTATGGCGGCATTACGACTGAGATTTCCCAGCTAAACCGCGCACACCACGAGAGGTGTTGCTTTTCGTTTTGTTTTGGGGGAACTATAAACATTATATTTGTAGTGTTTCTCTTTGCTGGGGCTATTTATAGTTCCAAAACTCGATGCTTTGCACACATGGTACACACGAGGTGGTCGCTTAGCGTGTCAGCTGCTCTCACAGTAGTGACAATCAAAGCATCGGCTCTTCCAATTCGGGCTTTTCACACTTCTCAGAATTGATTTCAGGCGACGAGAGCTCATCGACTGATGGAGTTCTCTTGGGTTCAGAATTGGAGACAACCAAAATGTTGCAGAAGTGGGTGCGCCAAAGTGAAACCGAATGAGGGAAAGGCGAAAACATTTTCCCTTCAATATTTTTATTCAATGCTTCTTAACCTAAATAGCATGCAAGTGCTCTATGGGCTCCCATTAAAAAATTTAAAAAAAAGAATCTGCACATTTACTTTTTTTTATGTACCATCCCTACCACTCAGAAATATTTTTCGGAAAAAAAAGAAAGCACCTGATTGTGAAAGGGACCATAAAATTTTTCTTTTTATATGAATTTGAAGCAGATTGTTTGTAAGCTTTCGTTTCTCCCCCAAGTTGCTGAGTGACAAAAAGTCAAGTAGCATTTCATCTTTCCATCTACCATAAAGATGGCCACATCCATGACGTGCGTGTGGCAAAGCAGGTGCCACTGACATAATTTCTTACCTCCTGTGTGCATTGCATTTCATGGGGAAAAAAAAGGATCAACACACCTCTAGGACAGCACAACCCAATGAAGATTTGGCTATCTAGCATGCAAGGACACCATTAAAACTCAGCTTAAACTTTCACAGACGTCCACAATGGTTTATGGATTGGGAAGTCGTTAATGCTCATTCTTTTGGATTACACATTAGAAACGGAACTCTTGGATAAATGCCATTGTGTATCAGTATGCCCGTGTCATGTCATGCAAGACACATATAGAAAAATATTAATTCCCCGGAGCCACGAAGGGGTTCAGTTCATCACCCGTAGACCTTTGCAAAAAGAGCGCTCCGGCTGCCGCCATTTTGCAACTCGAGCGACCCCTATAAGCCAGAAATTTCTGCCACCTGCCCGAGCTGTGGAAACCCGGTCATTGTGCATTCCAAGTTCGTCAGCTTTTCTTGGGAGTTTTTACTTTATTTGCCCGTTCAGGATGCTTACACTTTTTCTGTTTTCTACTGTGAGAACCAGCCAATACCAGGGCTCGTAGCCTGCTCAGCCTTTGCAGGAAACAAACAAAGAAAGTGCCGTCAATCAGCCCTTGACGCAGGCCGTTCAACATTCCTCGAGGATTATTTCCATTGAGATAATCTCCCAAAAGCCTTCCCGGCTATGTTCTTGGTCTTCCGAAAAATAGCTGATACAGTCAGGTCCGGGCCGACGTTCATTAATTTGCTTTGGTGCCGTGCAAAAAAAGCAGCTCTCTCCAAAACGTGCTGCAAGACAAGCCAGACCCCATCTGATCGTTGTGAAGTGACTATCGTTGACACTGTATATTGCATATGCTGTGTTACGTGAGACATTTCTCAAATCCTGTTTGGATAACGCGGCACCGTGGGGTACGTACAATATATGCTGTTCTATTGATGAGACTCATTGAATTTTACGTTGTGAGCAGGGAATACCCACGCAGTTCGGCTATATCCTGTATGGTCAAATATTTTCGACAGTTAAGACCTTTGTTGACTGACACGGCTGAGTGTATGGTGCCGTAAAAAAAATCAACATAAAATGAAACAAACATACCAGTTGTATTTGTTCTGTCGTACACGGAGTCACCAAAAGTAGCTTTTATTTGTTTTTTATTAATTCTAAAAATAGTACATGCTTTCTTAAAAACCTCCAGAAATTCTATTTGCCATAGAACAGACAAGAAAAAATGAAACGTGGCAATTGAACTGCCATCAGCATCCAAAATAGAGCCTACGCAGGCTGCCACAACCCATTGACGAGAAAACCCTCAGCCCAGCGCAGTTGGGCAACACTGACGCACACTCTCAAAACCAGAAACGCGCGCTGTAAATCGCTTCGTTCGAGACTGCTGCTGGAGAGATCTACACAGTCAAACCCGACTATATTGAACATGGGTATATTGAAATTTTGCCTAGGCTATATCAAACCCTTGTAGAATTCTGATAAAGACTCCATGCATCTCAAACTTCATATATCAAATGTGATTAGGCTCATAATGTATATATCGAACTCTCCTGCACCGGATCATGCGCACTCCGGAGGCGTGCGGCAGGCTTCTCCGCAATACAACATTCCGGTGTCTGGGCCAATGTAAGGCCAAGGACATTGCATTTCTTAACGGCATCAAGAGCTCCGCGGCAAGTGGTTGCTACAATATTGCCAGAAAAGCCATCCCAAGAGAAAGTAAAGCTGCAGATGTCGAAAGCATATAGAAGTAGATCAAGGACGAGTGGCTCCAGGTCCTTGCCAAGTACGAGCCGAAAGATATTTTTACCGCCGATGAAACAGGCCTCTTCCAGCAAATGCTTCCCAGGCAGACTCTCGACAACCACGGTGACAAGTGCCGTGTCGGCAGATAAAACGAGATCCGGATCACAGTGCTGCTGGCCGCCAACGTGGATGGCTCAAGGAAACTGCACCCCTTCGTTATCGGGAAGGCTAAAATGCAGCGCTGCAGGAGGAACTGCCGCTACACTCCCGCGAAGTACGCGTGAAACACAAACGCCCGGACGACTCGGGACCTGTTCGGCAGATGGCTCGCGGACTGGTACTGCAAGCTTGAGGACGAAGGCCGTAGTGTGTGCAAGCTCGTTGATAACTGCGCTGTGCACCACACGGACGTGCCGCCTGGCAACATCGAGCTGAACTTCCTGCCATCTACAAACAAAGGCTAATCGAGAGATTTCTCGTCAAGCTTCAGGACGAATGAGGACCTCAAGATAGACGTTTTCAGCGCAATCCAAAGGCTGAACGCCGCCTGGGAAAATGTCAGGCGGGAAACAATTGTCAACAGCTTTCGGCATGCTGGTTTTGTCGCCAGCATCGAGGAGTCGGCCGAGCAAGGCGACTGTAGTGAAAAAGCTGTGGACGAGATGTGGAACGGACTTTCCCAGTTCGCGGGTGGTGAGCCCGAGACCATGATAATGGAGGACTTTGTCGGCGACGACGACTTCACAGGAACCACGGCGGAGCTGACCAACGTCGAGATCACTGCCGAGGTTCTTCGTGAGCAGCTTGTTGCAAGCAACGAGCCCAGTGCTGCAGATGCCGAGGGCCCCGTACCGGTCCCGAGCTCGAACGAGGACTCTGCGCTCATCGACTGTTTTGATGCCGTGGAGTGGGCCATCATCAGGTACATGATGAATTCAAAGAAGCAGGCAACACTTATGCAGTACTTTTTGCCCCAATAAATGATTGTTATCTTTTCCCAAAAAGTGTTCCAATCAATGGTGAGGTGCAGGCTGGTAAGAGCTGCGAGTTACCTTGCAACTGTGTCAACTGCATCGCTCTTACATGCATTTTTTTACTTCATTTCATATACTTTTCGTATACTAAAATTTAGTATTTCGTATACTTTTCGTATACTAAACTTTTCGCTATATGGAACAATTTACGATCCTCGTACTGTTCGATATAACTGGGCTTGACTATACAATGAATCTCAATAATGAGCTTTGAGCGCGAGCGCGTTCATTTCCGGGGTGTTTCCTCTGCAAACGACCACAAACAGTGTGACCATGTTATAAAGACGTTGAATTGTGCTCACTGTTTTCATAGATAAGGAATAGAGCCTAAACAAACCAGAGAGGATTAATGAATAACATTACAAATGTAGTATCTGTAAATATGAACCATACAGCCCACGGCTAACCAGAAAGCCTACCCGGATATAGAGACAATATGTATTGCATTTTTCATTTTAAAAGTACCGCATAGCAAATGGCAAGAAGTTATATATGCCAGGGATCTAAACTTCTTGAAAGTGCAACTCCAGTCAACATTTTTTTTAAATTTGGGATTACAACTGATTTTAGCTAAGGCAGTGTCCCTGAATTACAAGGTATTTTCATTTTTTGATATTTTGTGTAGTTTTATAAATATCAGGGCTGAAAGTTTGGTTTGAGCGTCTACGGCAAAACAGAAACTATCTGCTAGAGGGATGGTAACACTGACAATCAGTCGTACAGCTGCTACGTGACTTCACTGTGGTGCTGTGGTACGCGGTACAACCAATCAACCGCAGTTTCACCGCAATGTGACGTCACAAGGGTGCTGCGCCAGTGTTCCTTGACTAAAAGCTAACCCGCTTGCTGCCTGCTAAAGAGCAGCTGGTCGCATCTTTAAAATCGATTTTAGTGGAGTACATGGCTTCGCTTTGACATAATATTCTGGCTGCTATCATATTTCGTGCCACTAAAGCAATACCAATCATTATTTTAGAGCGCAGCTCTTAGGGCCCGTTTCCGGCTTGTGCGGCGTCGGCGTAACTGCTAGGTCACGTGACTACCCCCCAGGTCACATGGTCACGTGACCCCCCTGAAATCATGTGACCCTCCTGAGGCCACGTGACCCCCCTGAAGTCACGTGCCTCCCCCCCCCCAGGTCACGTGACCCCCCTGACGTCACACGACACCCCCCCCCCCCCCCCCCCTGAGGTCACATGACCCCAAGGAGTCACTTATCCCTCAGTACGCTTCCATCCTCCTCCTCAAGAGCTGCGCTCTAATCTGGCGTTACAGGGAATTGTAAACGGCTTTCATTTTTTTGGGGTTTCGTTTTCAACTGGAGTTGCCCTTTAAAGGAACTTTAACATCTTCAAAAAATTAAAACTTTATTATGTATAACATTATAGTTAATGACAGGGTAAAAGTTCAGGGGAAACTCCTCCTATCCTTTCCCCTTTAGCAGAGCAAATGCTGGAGAGGAGGTTGCCTCCTCTCCAGCATTTGCTCTGCTAAAGTGGGAAGAGATGGGAGGAGCTTCCACTTCACTCTTAACCTGTCACTGACTATTGATTATAATATTAAAACACTACCAAAATTCTTCATGCTGCAGAGTCAACTTTCTATAATCAGAATGAATCATTATGCTGCAACCAGAGGACCAGTGCATGCACTACGACATCACAGTGCACAAAAGTCATTAGCAGTCACCAGTACGTAGATGCAGGTAGGGAGTAGCCATGACTATGCACTCAAGGTTTCTTGAAATCAGTGGTTCTCAAATGGGGTTCTGCAGACCATGCAAAGGCATTTTTGGAGTCCGCAAAGCCCTTGCCTCAATCCTCAGCCCTCAACACCCCCCCCCCCCCCCCTTTCCCCGCCACATCCTTTCTTTACTTGAAAAAAAAAAAAAAAAAAAAGTTTTTGTTAACCCTGGCTAGGTGCCACAAGCTACCACCCATTATAAAATGTACAGCCATCACCATCTATCCATCCATTCATACCTTTACTTGATGCTTTTCACATCTGTTTATATGCAGTTTATACACTCCAATTAGTTCTCGTCTTATTTTATGCACCCCCCCCCCCCCCCCTCCCCTTTCCTGCTGGCATGGGGTCCCCGTCACTTCGGCGGGTCCCCAAGGGGTCCCCGGCATATCCATGCTTCAGAACCACCGCCTTAAATCAACACATTTCTTGGCACTTTGGTGGTTTAAGTCATATTTTATGGATTCTATTACATTTATTATAAATGTGCCTCAATGGCTGACAAGATCAAAAATAGTCTGCATCTATGACGTCACCATAGAAATGAGAGTGAGAGCAGATCTGAACACCTGATCATCGAGCAGTGGTTTTCGTGCAGAAATAAACCAGATTTCGAGTCAGAAACATTTTTTTGTGGTTGGACCTTCGTAGATATGGTTTTAGTATCTCGGCAAGCATAAATACTGTCAGTGACCCTTCAATAGTACTTGTGCCAGATAACACGAGACTTCTATAAATAAGCCCTGAATGAACAAAGGGTAGTTATGTTTTAATTTCCCAGTAGGTTCCTGGGGCCACCATATTTTGAATCAAAAAGTTATACTAACCCGTATCAAATTGCTCTTACTGAATTTTTATAATGAGAGGTGAGCACTAACTTACAGCTGTGGGCAGCTGTGCTCCTCCTGGTTGATGCTGGTTGTCCTGTGGCAATCCTTGACCAAACAAGCCATCCCTGCCTCCAGCAACGTGTTTGTTGCCAAGATTCCCGTCGTCTTGCACACCCATCTGAGGATACTTTGGCAGTCTGTCAGGGAAGCCCAATGCGGGTGGCACTCCAAAGCCACCAGTGAAGGACACAGGACCATCTTGAGAGCCCCTTTCACCTTGTCCCAGCCCAGGATCGACCTGTCCCAGTTCAGGACTGGTCTGTCCCAATCCAGGGCCGACCTGTACCAGACCAGGACCGACCTGTCCCAGTCCAGGAGTGGCCTGCACCAGTCCAGGACCAGCCTGTCCCAGTCCAGGATTGACTTGTCTCAGTCCAGGACTAACCTGTCCCAGAACAGGACCAATATTTACCAGTCCAGGATTGACCAGTCCTAGTGCAGGATTGACCTGTTCTAATGCAGGATTGACCTGTCCCAGTCCAGGCACACCTTGTGCCAGTTCGGGGGCAACCTGCCCCAGTCGGGGAGCTCCTTGTCCAAGTCTAGCAGCACCTTGTCCAAATCTAGAAGCACCCTGTCCCCGTCTAGGGGCACCTGCTACTTGTCCAGGAGCCGCCTGGTTTATTCCATTAAGTACACTAAGAGGAACTCTTCGTGGTCCTTGCTGTCGACCATCTTGTGGAAGCCGAGGCCTCCTGGTATCCACAAAGCTAAAGGGGCCATGAATTACGCTTGGAGCATTGTCTTTCACCAGCACACCCGGGTTTTGGTTATTGTTTTCCAGCAGTGGCTTTCGCAGAAGGCTCCCTCGTGCAAGTGGTTGCTTTGGAAGGTTGTCCTGAGGACCAGGTTGATCTTGTCTGTCAGCTTCATGAACAGGCCCAGGAGCTGTCAGCTGGTTGGGAAATGATTTCCTTCTGTCACCTTGAAGGCGGGGCTGTCCAGGCTGTGCATTTGGCCTCCTTGTGTCGACAAAGGTAAAGTGACCGGCTGGTCCCCTGCCCGTCAATGGCCCAGATACGTCAGGAGTGGGACCAAGAATCAGTGGAGCTGCTTGGTTATTCGGTGGTGCCCTATTGCCAGAAAACTGTGGCTTGGGTCTTCCTTGAAAGTCCACATCAGGTACTTGCTTCCCAGTAACTTGCTTCGGTCCTGGCCTTCGAGGTCTTGTGTTTACAAAACTGAAAGATAACGGTGCACCAGGTCTACCTCCACCATGCGTGGGATCATCGAGTCTCTTGTTGTTTTGCAGGTTAGGATCTCCACCAGGAGCTCCTGTGTGATGAAGCTGTGGCTTCTGGAAGTTTGTGTCTTGGTTTTGATGAACATCAGGTCTGACATGGCCCAATGGTGAATCCTGCCCTGTATGAGATGGGTCGATTAGCTGAACAGAAGGGGGAGCCTGGTTGTCATTCCGACCGCCTGCAAGAAAACCTGGCCCCCCTTGTTGAAGTACAGGTCCCCTGTGCAATGGCGGTGGAGGAAAGATTCCTTGACCATTCCTACGGTACGGAGGTTGAACCTGGGCCGGAATGACGGGTTGTGCTGGTGGCCTTGAATCACCCGTGTTTTTAAGACCGCTAAGCCTTTGTCCAAATGGAACGGGTCTTTGGAATGGTCCTGGGAAGGCACTGCGACCAAAGGCCCCCAGTGCACTGCCTAACTGATTCCTCGGTGCACCCTGGCTATCTGGATTCTGAGGTTCCCGGTTTTGTTGGTCGGGAAAAGCACTGCCACTTCGAATGGGCTGAAGGAAAGGTGACGGAGGATTGCTAATGTCACGACTAGGCACTCCAAACTTTTGAAAAAAGTCAAGAGGATCACGTCTCAATCCAGTTTGTCTGTTGTTATTGTCACGGCCAGTGATCTGAGGTGCAGAGTTCTGCTGGAAGCCTTGATTACCGGGAGGCACCGCACGCCCCTTCTCTGGGATACCCAACGCAGGCCCACTTCCAAAGTTTGGAGAAACATTTCCGTCGACGTTGTCATCTACACTTACAGGTGGGACGGGTGCCCCGTCAATCAGTACCGTTGGAGGCCCATCTGGAGGAGGTTTTCCACCCCCCAACAAGACCGGCACTCTCAGTCCATCCTTGCTGACGAATGGGGGTTGGAGGTTATTGCCATCTCTATCTACCTTTTCCGGTGTATCTCGGTCCGGTGAGACGAGCACTCCAGAAAAAGGATTCCTGTAGTTAAGAAATTCCTCTTCAGAGCCAACAGGTGGCTCTTTTACCTCTTCGCCTGGCCCTCCTCTTCCATCAGATTTTCCCGAATCGCCAGGCTTACCACCAAGGGAACACTTCTTCCCATTCTTGGACTTGCCGTCCAGCTTAGAATCGTGTGACTTCGGATCGTCATTGTCGTCGCAAAGCAGCTCGTGTTTCGAAGGCACTATTGGAATGTGCTCAACTGGCTTCCTTTCGCCATCTACAGGCTGAACTTTATCCTTTCCTTTACCATCCAATCCCAGTTCTTTCTCGTAATATGGCAGAAGTTCTTCAAGAAATTCAAGGCCACCGCCATGTCTCGCTACCCCCGATGGAATGCCTTTTTCTTTCGGTGTCTCGTTCAAAAGATCAGCTTGGTCCTGCCTAATAAGACCCTCAAAGCCCCCTCTCAAGCCAGCACCTAGGTTTCCGGGGCGGTTTGGTTCTCCACGTCCACCGAGTTTTTGAGGAGTGTCACTGTACAAGACCTGATGGACCGGCGGCCCAGCCTGCAGAGGTCGATCCCCAAACCTGCGGCCAAATGGAAGCTTGACGAAGGGCACTGGAACAGGGCTGCCCCTGCTTGATCCTAACTGACTCTGAGGAAAGTCCACTGACTGCGACGGAGCATTGGGGAAACTTGGCTGCTGGAACCTACGTGGCGGAGGCAGGTTCTGAGGTCCATGGTTCACCATGTCAATGCTTACGAGTGAGGGCTGGTCGAACCGGGTGTTCTGGGGTCCAAAGTTATCTCTGTCGAATTGGTTGAGCATCCTGTTTGCAGCGTGGTTACGGGGGTTGGGGATATTGCCGATGGTGCTCATCACCGGGACGGGTGCTATGTACTTCTGAACAAACTGCGGGATCTGCTTGTTCCTTGGGTCTTCTGGATTTGTGACGCCACCTGGGGGAGCACCAACATCTTGAGGACCTTGAGGGAAGTTTCCACCGAGCTGCCGCGACGGGAGATTTTGTTGAAATCCTCTGCCAGTGAAAGGACCACTGTCCACACCTCCAGGGCGGCCCTGCCTCCCTTGGAAGCCTTGACCTCTCTGGAAAGGACTGACGGCACCGGAACTGCCGTCTTGATTTCTTCTCGGAGCCTGTCCTGGAAATCTTTGGTTGGGTTTCATGGGTTTTCCAGAAGGGAATTGGTAGTCTTGTGTAGTGTGGTCGTGAGGCCCAGAATCGTCAAAGTTTCCAAATTGTGATGGCGAATTGAAAGCATTTAAATCCTGTGGATCCGTCGGGTCGAAGTTGCTGTCAGGTGATCCAGGAATCGGGGATGCAATCAAAATAGGCTCCGGGTGACCCACCTGAAATAGACAAAAGAGTGTGGCATGATGTCACAAATGAGTCAGTTTGTTAAAGAAGTCACATTGCTATACATCCAACACAAAAGACTAGCAATACATGCTAACATCAATGCAAGTCAATAAGTGACCGATCCCACATGGTATGTTGCTCTCCCCAGCATTGCTCCCATGTTTGTGAGGCATAAAGACATGGCAATAAGCTATAAGTGTAAAAAGACAAAGCAGGAATAGACAAAATGAAACCTATGAAATGACGACTTTCTGTTCCGATTTAAAAATTAATAATAATAATAACACCTAGATGCATGTATGGGATGATGACATACCACTGGGAGCTACTAAGAAAGATTGGCTCCGTGGCAATGGGGTTTCGTTTCGGCCACCGGAACGCAAAATGAACAGTTCATACCCTGGGTCGACGCTTCGCTAAAAAGGAGCCTCTGAGGCATCGCTCACAGACTTACATGCTCTACCATGTAAAGCCCCAATATCTCTCTCACTATTGACAAATCACATCAATGATACGAAAAAAAAAAACATATAGGAGAGGAAGGTTAGAGTAATTTTATAGACCTTTTCATTTTAGTAGTTGCCTAACCGGCGGATAGAGGGCGCTGACGCACTCAACGCCATTAGGTTGCTTCAATTTGGTTTGTTTCGGTTTCAACGTGAAATTGGCTATGTTGCTGCTTTACGTCGTTTTTGCTTAATTTTGTGATACGATTATTTTCTTTGTAGCGCTCAACCAATGAAACCGTGGTATTGAGCCACTTTGAGGACTAGGAGGTGTGTTTTATTTTAGCCTAAACTGCGGGCTTTTAGACTAACTCCTTTGGTGTATCTGATTATGGTCGGTTGCGAAATGCCTGACTGATGTACAATGAAGATTACCATCGTTTGCAGCCTGCCCGATGACACCAGTTTTTATAAAAACAAACTAATGAAGAGACGAACACGTGAATGTAAAGAAGCATATCGACAGTTTGATTAGCAATGTGCTGAATCGGCCAGAAAAGATGAACTCGCGTGTTTACTACTCACTGTTTGGTTTTCGTGGGCACCCAACCTTTAGTGAACCTTGCAGACTTAAAACATATTCTGTGGTGACGCAGATAATTGATATAACCAAGTAGTATCGTCTCGGCCTTTTTTATTTTTTAACTCAGTACTCGACTCTGTTTTTTACAGGCCGAGTAGGAAATTTCTTAATTATCAACCCTTCTAAAGTACTCATAAGCAGCATTTCACGATATTGGCCTTCGGAAATAAATTAATTTTATATGAACATTTGCTTACTCAAGAATAAGTGACAGTCCCGTCAAATTTAATCTGGCATTTGCCTTCCGTAAAATTGGCCAAATAAAATTAAAGGGCGCAGGAGGAGAAATACCTCAGAAAGTTTGGCTGAGTTCTAGCGCTAGGCACCACTTTACGGACCTGTGTGAACAAATATTTATTTGTTTGAAAAGATTCGCTCTGTGAATTTCGGCGTCGCCAGCCACAAAAATTAAACCTCTATTCGCCATCGACAATCCTGGACACAAGTGATTGTTAGGCAGACGGCTATTTTTTTTTTTTTTTCGGCGTCAATTATTACGGACTTTAGATACAAGCAAAAAATAAAACAGCGCATGCAAAAAATAAAACAGCGTGCGCAAAAAAAAAAAAGGCATTGTTGTTATTGCGCATGCACCAAACCCAAACCGCGTTTTGGATTCGCGAATAGAAACAATGTTTATTTATTTATTTATTTATTCAAGTTCCCTTAAAGGCCCTCGGTGAGGGCATTACATAAGGGCGGGTACATAACACGAGAGCATAAAACAGTAACAACGACATATGCGAATACATGGGGTGCTAAACAACGTGGCATCGCCACGAGCAACGGCAATACACAAATTAGTCTGGGTTCATGGGGAGCGTAAGGGGATGAAGACATTGATACATGGCAACCAGTAAAGCACAAGACAAACAAATAGAAAGGCACAGTGGGATTAACAGAAATGAGCACAAAGAGCGTTGCGAAATGCGGTGGGATCCGTCTGGGTCACAATAAGTGAGGGGAGGTCGTTCCAGTCTACAATAGAACGAGGGAAGGAGGAGTTAAAATAGGATGTGCTGCCGGAGATGCGGGAAACGTGACACGGGTGATTTAGCCGCGATGAAGATCGCCTGGGGGGTAGGAGGAGCGGGTCTCAGAGCGCAGGGAGGTAGTAGTAACTTTTGTGAAAGAGACAGAGCCGCGCTATCTTAGGGCGGACGTTTAGTAAAGGAAGGTTCAGTTCGCTCTTTAGGGCGGATACACTAACCGACCAATCGCATTTCCTTAAAATAAACCTGGCAGCGCGGTTCTCGACTGCCTCGAGGTGATTTAATAAGTATATTTGGTGAGGGCTCCAAATGGCCGCAGCATATTCCAATTTGCGTCGAATGTATGTCTCATAAGCCAATTTTCGCACGAATGGGGGAGCCGATTTCAGGTTTCGTCTTATGTAACCGAGGCAGCGAGACGCCTCGGCGCATATAAGTTTGATGTGAGCGTTCCAGGTAAGATCGTTAGTTAGAGTCACGCCGAGGTATTTATAGGACGGGACGTCTTCGACTAAGTTATTTTGTAACTTGTACGAGAACTGAGATCCTTGCCGTTTTCGTGAAAACTGGACTAACTTGCATTTAGATTTGTTTAGCGTCATTAACCACCTGGTGCACCATGCCTGGATTTTGTCCAGGTCTCTTTGAAGTAAAAGATGGTCTTCAAAAGAAGCTATCCTTCGGTATAGGACGCAGTCGTCAGCGAAAAGGCGGATGTTAGAGGAAATTTTGCCTGGAATGTCATAAATAAAGATCAGAAAAAGTAGGGGACCAAGAACCGAGCCCGGGGGAACTCCCGAAGTAACCTCAGCGCGGGTGGATGAGGAACTATTAATTGTGGTGAATTGAGTGCGAGAGGAGAGGAAATCCTGGATCCAGGAGAGAATGAGAGGGTCAATTCCAAGGCATGAAAGTTTGGCAAGCAGGCGACAGTGAGCAACGCGGTCGAAAGCCTTTGAAGTAAAAAAATAGGGCATCAGTTTGGTGGTTGGATTCAAAATTAGTGTATAACTTGTGGGTGAATTCTACGAGTTGCGTCTCACAAGACAGTCCCTTACGAAGACCGTGTTGCTTGTTGTAAAAAAAGTTATTACTTTCAAGATGAGATACAACGTTTGAGTAGATAATATGCTCTAGGAGTTTTGAGGCTACGCAGGTTAGAGATATAGGGCGGTAATTCGAAGCCGAAGAACGATCCCCATTTTTTAAGACCGGAACGACCTTACCCAGTTTCCAGTCAGATGGTAGGCATCCCTGCGATAAGGACTGCGAGAATATTAAGTAGAGAAATTCGCTGGATATTGCTTTAGTGTGATGAAGAATTTTGGGGGTGATGTCGTCAGGTCCTCCAGAGGATGTCAATTTCGAGTTGTCAAGGAGTTTCGCTATTCCAGCGCATGAGATGTCAATAGGTTCCATTGACTCGTACGGTAGTGCTGCCAATATAGGGATGTTGGCGTCTTCTAATGTAAACACAGACGAAAAATAGTCGTTTAATACTGTGGCACAGTCCGCTTCAGATATCGGGGACCCGTCCTCGTCGGTTAGCTGGATAGAGGAGGAGCGAGAGTTGGGGGATATTATCTTCCAGAATTTTTTAGGGTTGTTACGCAGGATACCAAAAAGATCCTCAAAAAAGAACTTTCTTGTTCTTTTTTGACTAAGCGCCAAAAGTGCTTAGTCAGAGAGCGCGTTGCCTTCGGAGGTTTGCTATCACGTTTACGTGACCACTCAGGCGAATTAGAGGAAATGAAATTAAGAAGGATGACAAAGGTAATTAAGAGGAATTAAAGTGAATTAAGTAAATCATGAGTCTGTCTTTAATGCATCGGCGCTTAGGCTTTCGCCTTCAAGTCGTCTTAGGGATGACATAAGAGACCTGTGAATTTTCTTGGTTTTTTTCTTATCATGGTGTAAACGTACAGGCTTGACAAAGCAGAGGTAAGTGACATTTCTCCGTGGATTTGAGAGAGAGATTGTGTTGTTCTCGTAGTTGGTCGTTAACACACAATCCCATTTGTCCTATATAGCATCAACCACATGAAAGCGGGATATATAGATTACACTCAAGGAACAGGGTACATAGGGGTGGACATGATTTTGGCATATGTTTTCGATATTTTTTACCTTGGATTAGACCCTTGCACAAATTTGACTTATCTTGGGAGGGGGGGGGGGGGGGTTGACTTTACTAGGGGGACTGCATACCTGTTAGCTACCTTTTAAGATTGTGAGAAATTCTGTGTATATACTGTACTACCACCACTCTTTTCTTGTCAATAGTGCACTTAGACTTTTCACCTCCCTTCACTTTTTTTTTATTTTTTTATCGAGGTTCCAACCTTTTCAGTCAACAGTTGCGCTGGAAAAACCGAGGATGTCAGCCTCGCAATTCAAGCGTTGAAACTGCATTTGATGATATGAAAACATGACTCTTTTTAAGGCAGATGTAAGGCAGGAGAGAGCTATACCTTTTTTTGTGACTTTAGAGTATGAGGTCATGTGGTTTAGATGCCTTTTTTAGAATGAGGCGAAAAAGACCAGCACAGACGATTCGGATGCAAGGAAAGCGAGAGGTCCAGAAATTGCAAAACTCCTTCCATAGGCATTTCAAATGCAAAGAAAAAGTACTAAAGCGCATTTGTGGAAAATGTCGATTGTCTTACTGACGACTTCTTTGTCCACCATTTTTTTGTGTATGCCAGCAGGAAGTCGTCATCATTTTCTTCCAATACATGTGAGTTGTGAGTGCGTGCAATTGTCTGTCATCTACGTGTTTCTCTCCTCAGTCCCTGCCCTTCAGCGCATCACATCTACCATGTTTAATCGTTACCAACTCACCCAACTGACCACCTCACTACAAATATTTTTCTCCTACCAACTCTCACACCTTGGCAAAGAGGTGCTCACATGACCAATTTGCAGTTGGTCTTTGACCAGTCTGACAGAAAGGACAAGCACGCCGGCTCCTAAAGCTGTCACCTATGCCATTTACTAGTTAGCCTTGCTTTCCCTCATAGCTCTGAGTCAGGAACAACAGACAGGTTACACAACTGCAATATACCGCTTATCTTCGAGAAAACATTAGTAGTTACCCTACAGACGATGAGCAGACAGTGACATCTGTTTTTAAATGGAAGCACGCAGCTGTCTGCAACTGTTATAAAAGAACATGAAATCTTGTGTAATGCAAGAAAAGGCAAACATTTTTATTTTGTGTAAGTATATGGTTTAGTGCATGAGCCAAATGCAATTCTCATTTCTGCCTCCCACTGGTGCAATCTGTCCATAGCTACATCATATGGTGAGGGACCTGACTATCACCTACACTGCTTAGGTGTGTTCCTAGCTTCTTTTCACATCTTGAAATGCTTCAAGTTACATTACAAAATTTGCATATGCTGCCAGCATGAGTAAAAGGGATGCTTCAGTAATGTTACAGCCCACTCTGCTCCATGAGCAACTTTTCTCATTAGCCAACACCGTGCGCCAAATTTTCGACTAAGAAACGAAATATTTGCTCATAGTAGTTCATTGGCCCGAAGAAAACTTTTATTTAAAATGTTTGTTTTGGACATCAACTGCTGAGATTTCAGTATGACACTTACTGAAAAGCTCAGCATATAGACCAGTGTCTGTTCTGTTCCATGGGTGCCGCCATGTTTGTTTATGCTGACGTCATGACAAAGCAGGGGGCTGTGCTTATCGCAAGACTTTGTTTCTTATAGAAACCTTCACATATGTTGTTGTGCAAGAACATCAGAAATGCATAGTCACAAAGCTCAAGAACAACACCGATGCCAAGACTGCTGTAAAAAGCAACAATCTTGTTTTATGCACAGCTCCTCTCTTCACAATAGCCTGCGTTTGAGATTATTTTTTTCCATTTTTATCGCTGGTGGCTAGGATTTCGGACACTAGTCTATATTAGCGCTAATTTCCACGTCTAAAAATCCAGCATCTAATTCATAAAATTTATAATAATCATGTCCCATTCTAGGGCCAAAAGAGCTAGGATAAATTTTATCAGTCTACCGACAGATGGTCCTCTTTTTCCCCTCAAAAATATTTCATGCAAGATCAATAAAAGTAAGATCAGTACTGCGACCCAGCACTATTGGGGAAGAAATATAACTCTCGTGTCCCAGGCAGTTAAGTTGAGAACTAGACCTACGGGGACAACAACAACATGAAATATATGTTTCTGTTCGTGACGCAGCGCTCTGTTGTTGTAGCCGAAAACTGCATCAGTGTTCGACTGGGGTTTGTGTTTAATTGGTGAAGCGCCAATTGAGCATGAGTCCCGGTTGAATGCTGACGCGGCACTCCTGCCCCCCAATCTGTGCCCCGTCCTCGTTTGAAGAAGATGACGTCCAGAGGCTTTGTGCTAGGCAATGTCTAGACAGGGAGGGGTCTTGGACCATCACCGACTTTAATGTGTGGTCACCCTTCTAAGTCACCCAACGTCAAAGTCATATAGCTCTGATGTTGGTGAAAACACAATCATAAGTAGTCCATCTTGTAATCGGAAATGCTATGATTTTTACCATTCAAGTTTTGTTGAATAGCAAGCTCAAGAGAGAGACAAAAAACTACATTGGGAGTAGCCATGTCAATTTCGTGGGGAACAAAATGGCAGATAATTCAGGGGCATTAATTCTTGATGAGACAAATAATTGGAATCCCCTTTATTGGTCAGTTTTGTTTCCTGAGAAACATGCTGGGTTATGTGTACATTTTAACTAAGTCGGTTTTGTGCTCATCTAATATAACCCCCCCTCCCCTCCTCCCCTCATTTTTCCCTTTACCATAGTTTGTAGAGACCCCACCAACTTATGGGAGTCTTTAAGCACTGAAACAGCAAGCTTTGTGGAAAACAAGCTGGACAAAGTGCCCTCTGGTATTTCATCTCTTTGCTAATACAAAAAGCGGTAGACACAGAAATTCACCGGAACAAAAGGCACCAACCTCCAGAGGTCTCGGCTTGAAGGGCTTCAATGGATCCCCGAAGGGGGAGTGGCCCCGGGCCGAAGAGACGAAGGTGACGTTTGCCGGGTCGTGGCTCTGCGTCCCAAACTCGTTGGTGTGAATCTTGGCCTTGAAGCCCCTGTGGTCCGCCTCATAGTCCACAGACCTTGTCTTGCCGTCGGGCGTCCTGATGGTGTAGGAGCCCTTCACTCGGCCCGAAACGTCGGCTTCCTCCGTCCGGCTGCTGAGCGATCCCGGTCCGGCTGCCTCATACTTGAAGAGGTACGGCCGACGTGGGTCGTTGGGAGGGAAGTCGTCGTCGTCGTCTGCACCGTTGTCCTACAAATGGAACAGAAACTAGCACTTCAGTGTTGAGTGCATAACAAACTAAAATTTTGTCTGCTTACAGCCAAACTTTTAAGGAGATTTGTCATGTCTAGGCACAAAACTCGGGATTATACTTCGCTTCACTATAAGCGTGAGTGTAGTACCAGAAACTACAACAGTGGGCTCCAAGCTTTCAGTGTTCCCGCAAAGCATGCACACTCGTGCAGTGCTCGTAGCTTCACTTGCGCATAAAGAGAAACAAACCATAGTTTCGACCACTTGGGGACCTTCTTGACATGCAACCGAAATTTGAGTTACGTCTGGGGGTTTATAGCCAACCACCTCAAAATTGAGGGCGACCCAGCCAAGTGAAAATCCGTAGGTCAGTATTTTTTGTCGGAGCCGTCAGGGCAATAGGCAGGATTCAAGAGTGAAGAGAGATGTAGCTACAGTGCCATTATGGTCCCGCGACTGCAGCTATGAACACGAGACACAAAGGATGATTCCACCGAGAGTTACGCACGGCCCAGTTCAAATGCCGGGCTGCGCTCGCACCTCGTCTCGACAATTTTATCTCGCATGACTCTAGATACAGTCCCTGAATTCAGTTGTGGGTGGCATCCAAGATTTGAAATTAGAATTTCTTTTACACATAAATGTACAACATAGCAGCAACAATTAGACTAGAGAGTCACAAAATAAACAAAAATATCAATGCTGGAGTTCCTCTGTGTGCTGACCTCATTCATAGAGTGTGTAAAACTCTTGTAAACAAGCCAGGCACCGTACGCGCTGACTGTTGTGCCATCAAAAGAAGTTAGAGTGCTAGTTCCTCAAAGCTATTGAGTGCAACTGATCTCTGTCAGTGCATATACAGTGTTTGAGTAACGATAAGAATGCTCACAAACCTGTTGGGCTTTGTCAACACATGCCGTGAGCCCTGTGCAAACCCCAACAGCGACGATCAGAGCCACTGATGGTGAAGCTAGTGTTTGTTAGCAAGAACAAGAGGGCATAGCAAGCTCTACAGTTCATGCAAGATATTCGCTGAAGTCAAGCCGAAACAGAATTGAGAAACGTATTTATAAGGATGGTTAAGCCATCGGATTTCAAGAAAAACCAATATTTGCCCTCCCCCAGCCATATTGTTTTTGTTTTGTTTGTCAGGCAAGGGGACTTTCCTCATAGACCTCCTGCCGGCTGCGGGTTTGTGATACCGAGTCTTTCCTTTAGCGGCGGGGGTCGTTACGGGAGTGTGAGCCCCCTCCGAGGCCAATCAGGTTTTGGCAGAGGCGTCGTGGTGGCGGAGACTGACAGTGCAGCGGACTCCACAGTTCTGGTCGGAGCTGTCTGAGCTGTCAGCCAGTCTGTTGCAGGCCTAATGAATGTCAATGTCTATTATTGATTTGCTTCCGTCACGTGCCTCTGTCAAGGATTTGAAACTATTGGCTAACTCCTCTCGAAGGGCAAGGTTTGTGCCCTGAAAATCCTGTGTCCGGCGAGAGAGCGCGAATTTTGGCTGGATCTTGACCCCGTAGTGGGTCCACCAGGAATCCCCTACTTTCTACATAAATATCAGATGTGTACATTGCTTATAACAAAAGTATTTCTGTAAATGTTGAGAAAATAAACAGTTTGCACTGTACGATTACAAAGCCTAGATGGCACTCCTCCGACTCGGCACCGAAGAAGACCTCATTGACCATTGACCCACACAACATCGCAGGCCAAAAACAACAAAGAACCATCTTCGCTGTATTATTTAAGGATTAATTTAACAGGATACCCAACAAACATCTGAAAAACTGTAGCACAAAAAAGGAAGAAAACTTTAAATTTTTTATTCATGCCATTCACCTGCATTTTAGCTATTTCTTCAAAATCTGCCTTAGTTTGGTTCCTACCTTACTTTTCTCTAAGTCGCATACAGAGCTAGAAAAGTACCTTTCTTTCTTTCTTTTTTTTTTTTTTTTTTTTGTTAATGGCACTTATTTATAGGGTGTGTATTTTCCGGTTTTAACCGAAAAACACTGATAAACATCCGTCGGTGACGAAAATACAAAATCGGTTAAAACCGAAAAACACCGGTGGTTGGATATTTTCGTCGTGATTAAAACCGAAAAACACCGGTCGAAAAACACCGACCTAGCGAAACCCTTTCCCCGCAGAGGTTCGTCAAACGTGTTATCTCGTGGATCCTGCAATCTTCCCGTGTCTATACAATGGCTTGCACGTGGCGTCAGTCCGCCCTCCTTTCTGGGGGTCAAAAGCGTCTAGTTAGCGCAGTGGAAGCTAAGCTCTCATACGCCTTTCCCCCATTGTGGAAAAATTAACGCAGTGGAGGGTACGCTCTCACGTGCCCTTTCCCCATTGTGTCTGGCCAAGTGATGTCGGTGCAAGCCATGTATTCAGAGGTTGCTCTGGTTCCTTGAAGACACTGCCAACATCCGTGTCGTACAGGGCTACTTACCTTTGAGAACTGAGGTGCGTAAATTGTTATCTGTTTAGTCTCCATGGGCTTTTGGCGAAACGGAAAAAGGTTTTGTTGGCGTGGGGGTTTTCATCATTCATCATGGAGGAATCGTCGTTCTGGTTCCGCGTGCAAATTGTTAATCCGTGCATAAAAGTGGAGCTGCCAGAGGGATTTGTGCCTTATAAGAGAATATATGGGCTGGTCCTCCGAGACGAGCGCAAGCTGAGTGACCTAGAATCAGAGTTTCTTTGTTACCGCCAGTATGCTGTGACTAGCACCGTTGATGCAGTGTTATTTTGGAAACTTCATTTACCTGACTGGCCACTACTGTCCCAAGCCTCGCTGGACATTTTGGGATTTCCCGTGTCCAGCGCAAATGTGGAACGTCCGTTTTCAAATTTGCGGGTTGTGAACTGCAAGGAACGTGCTGCCATGACGGATGCAAGCCTCTCGAAGTATGCTGCATCTACTATAATAACCAAGCGTGAGAAATAGATGCTTCCTCGACAATAAGTGTATAAAATATGTGAATAAAATTGGAACTCTCTGTTCGTAATCAATCGCATTTTTTTTTCCACCGATAATCACAGATTTTAGCCTTGCCGTGAGACGTTCCACCGAAATACACCGGTGTTTCGAAAATAAATAAACACCGAAAAACATCCGCCGATTTTTCCCACATATAAACACCGGAAAGTACACACCCTACTTATTTACCATTCATGTTCTCGCCAGAGCCGACTAATTACACCGGTATGAATAGAGAGAAATATACTGACGGACCCACGGGTCTGGTGCGGCAGGGTCATTTAACCACAAAACGAACTAAAACGATTGTCATTTCGCCGGTTTTTACGCGGTCAGGGGTACCTTCAGTTGTCAACTTGGCTAAGGTGGCAAGACTGGCAAGACCACAGGGCTCAGTGCTAGACCACAAGACAGCGACATGCTTACGATTTCGCAGAATTTGGGCCATGCCTTGTTCTCGACTTCAGAATCTTCCTCCGCCTGTTGCACCTCAGCTGCCTCAAGTAGAGGACGCCGACGGCTGAGAACGCGGTTAGTAAATGCCAGTCGACATTGTCGTTTCCCCTGGTGTAGTTTGATGCACAGCGCAACAACAAATCTTCGACGCGATCGGGATCGGGCTCCGTAGCTGGCATCATGTTGCGCTTCAGCCGTCTCAGCTGTCTCAAGTAGAGGACACCGACGGCTGAGAACGCAGCTAGAAAGCCCCAGCTGACACTGCTATTACCAGTGATGTGATTCAATACACAGAGCATAAGCAAATCTTCGACGCGATCGGGATCGGCATGGGGAACGAAGTCTGGAGGTGGCGCCATTTTTCCATTTTTCGGTGTATGATTTGTTAACTAAGTAGATGCATGGTGATAAAAGGAATCTGAAGACGGGCGGTAACTCGCGCCACCTGTACTACTGGGCCGACGGACTGCAGCGGATTTTACGAGCCATCAGAGCCAATCCAATGCCGTGTGGTGTGGTGGCACGTGACCTTAAAAAAAGGGACTCGGTGACGCGGGGAAAGCGTAATCACGTGCCAATGCATGAAGCTAGATTGGTTGGGATGGCTCGTAGCGTTCGCTGCGGTCGGTGAAGCACTGTGCGTGTTTTACAGCGACAGCTGCTAATGGCCAGTAGTGGTTAGTGGCCCGTCCCCCGGGTTTCGTCACGGTATGAGCGTAAATGAATTCAGTTTTTCCGCTTAATTTAGTGGAAAAATTGACGTCACATGACCTATCATCAAATTCAGTTTCTTCGATAAATTTGGCGGGAAAATTGGGGAGTTTTCGTAGATCATTTTTTCCGCCCCGCAGCGCTACCTCAACCCGCTGCGATATCCGGAAGTCTGCAGTCAAGGCCAGCCGCGCACATGCGCACTAGCGGCGTAGAAAAAACGATCTACGAAAACTCCCTATTGATGTCACGTGACCTGACGTCACGGGACCTACAGACAAATTCAGGTTCCCCGCTAAACTTAGCAGAAAACTTTATGTCACGTTACCTATGAACCAAATCAGTTTTCCCGCAATATTTGCAGGGAAAATTGGTGTCATGTGACCTGACGTCACGGGCCCTACTGACAAACGCAGGTTTCCCGCCAAATTTAGCGGAAAAATCTACGTCACGGGACTTATTCACCAATTCAGTTTCTCCTCTAAATTTTGCGGGAAAATTGATGTCACATGGCCTGACGTTACGGGCTTTACAGACGAATAGAGGTTTTCCGCTAAATTTAGCGGAAAAATTTGCGTCACGTGACCTATGTACAAATTCAATTTCCAAGATAAATTTGGCGGGAAAACACATCACGACCTTGCGGTCGCTGTCTAAACGCATCACGTCGTGCTATCGTCGCCATTCTTTTTTTTTTTACGTTTTTTGGGAGCGACAGTTTTGTTACAAGAGGGGACTGACCGCTGAAGCTCCTCAATGCTTCTGTCGTAGCCTTTGTGCCTCGCTCTGGTCCAACGAAGTGATAGGTGACCTTGCAAAGAGCGTAAATGTGGCAATCGATGCCTGATAAAAGAGTTGTGTAATTTGTCTGAAAATTTGGACGGATGCATGCTCCTCTCTGAGGACGTTACACATAAACGCATAAATCAGTGTTGGGACCTCAAGTAGCTTTAGAGAAATTGTATTTTACTTGAAGTACATTCTCTGAGTATGCACTTGTACGTTTTAAGGTATTTTGTCCGGTACTTTCCGAGAAAAGTACAACTGCCGACTTCAAAGTACATTCCTCAACTTTGGTCTCGGTGAAATTAACCTCTTTCGAGAACCACGCGCTCGTTCGTAGTCCTTACGAACGTATAGGCATGTGAAAATGCATTTTCGTATAGGCATGTGAAAATGCGTTTTCGTCTTTCGAAACGTCATCCGGTAATTTTTCTGAGTGAAGTATTACCGGCTGTAGGACCGGTACAAACAAGTGCCTTTTAAGTTGGCAGCGTTAAATAGTTCGTAAGCGAGATTAAACTGCTCTGTGGCCACCTGGCTTTATCCAATATTCGCCGGCATTTCCCCCAAAAAAACGGATGCGCTCCTATTGCCCCGGGGGCAATGCATATGTTTAAAAAACACAATAAAGATTGTGTTTGTACTTTACTTTGAAAGTACACTGTATTTATAGTACTTCACTTGAAGTACATTGCGCCCGGTGTACTTGCTGCTTTACTTGAAGTACATGACCTCTCACTTACTTTATACTTTGCTTCAAGTACTTTTTATACGTACTTCACCGAAAACAACAGCTGATGCTCGGCTGTTGTTTCTCGTATTGAAAACAAAGCGTACTCACAGAATCTTGGTCTCCCGCCAGTCCTGCCGAAGGAGCCCTCGGTTCATCCAGAGGCGAGCCGACGCGGGAACCTGGTGACCCTAAAATAAAGCGCGACGAAACAAATCGCGGACACATTCAACTTAGCCGTGTGCAGCTCACAAGGTATTTCGTGGCTGCAAAAGAAACTAATCGAGTATTGCAACTCCTATCATTGTACCTCAGTGAATAAGATATCATCCCCTCAAATCACCTTGTTGCATCCTGTGGGCCAGGCACGTAGCCAGGGGGAGGGGGCATGCCCCCCCCCCCCCCCCCCAAATCTTCTATTTTGCTGGGACTTCCTCTCCCCCCTTTCCATCATACGGCATTTTGTCACGGGCGGCCCCGCCCCGCCCGCCGCCCCCCCCCCCCCCCCCCCCCGCGCCCTGAAACAAAATCCTGGCTACGTGCCTGCTGTGGTGTGCGTCTTAGTTATCGCAAACACTACATCGGCGTATGTATTTTTTCTTTTATAATTCTATGATATTAACAGTTAGTGTCGAACGCCAGCTTTTAAAGCCTTAGTTGGTTTGTCGTATAAGCATATTACACTACACAAGCAGTATTAATAATATTCTGGCACAAATAAAAAAATATACGCCCCCCCCCCCCCCCCCCCCCCCCCCAAACCCGAAAAATAAAAAAAATAAAACTTGACCATAATCCAAACCCTGAGACACGGAGAAACATTGTGTTTCTTAAAACCAGCTCGATCGCATAATTTCGCTTCTTGGACAGCTCGAGTTATTTTTTTCGATGTACAGTCTTTTTCAAAGGTTTTGAGCCCACCGCGCGCGTGGCCGGACCAGGCTCGCTCCCGTGCAACGGCGCTCTCGGTGCTCGCTGGCTGCGAAATTTTTGAGAGCGAGGGGGAACTTCACTCTCGCTATTTTGCGCGGAGTTTTCGTAGATCGTTTTCGCCGTCCCGCAAAGCCCTCCGCAATCCGCTACGATAGCGGGAACTCCACAGTCAAGGCTATCGGCGCGCAGGCGCAGTAGCAACTTCTTCGTTGCGGAACGCTTAGCGGAGGGGGCCAACGCGGTCTACGAAAACTGAGAGCGCGACGCGAGAGCGAAGTTCCCTCTCGCTCTCAAAAATCACACAGCCAGCGAGCGCCTACCATAAAGGCTGAAGGCCCGTTCACACAGTTGCGTTCGGAGCGACCACTACGCTTACGAACGAATGCAACCGGTTGGAACGACAAGTTGCCATAGCAACGAAGCGCCAAACGGTCGTTTCGTTCGTGTTCGTTCGCAACGCAAGGAGTTGAGCCGGGCTGAACTTTTTCGTTACGTTCGGGAACGACGGGAGCGACAGACCAATCACAGGTCGAGGAGAGCTCGGTCGCGCGCGTTGCATGCCGGTCGTGCCAGGATCATTCTATTTGCAAACATGGCGTCGGTGATGATCGTCGACATGGACGGCATGGGGGGCGCTCGTCGTTCCCCGTAAAAGCGCTATCCTTGACTGTGAAGTTTCGTCGTATGTCGTTATGATAACCCAGCACGCACTAGAAGGGAAGACCCACCTACTCGTGCGGCGATCTTGTAGCGGCACTCTCAAGACAGCAGAAACGCCCGTGCCGTCGTGTTTGTTTACTTCGACTACAGTGGTGCTTTCTTAGCATTTGTGTCCTCGAACATCACCCGGATTTCTTTTTTGGCGCACTCCATGCGTGTGCTCAAGTTCAAGATATTACTGGTGCGTACCGTATAAAGGATGCGAATTTTCACGCGTTTTCATCCCCCGAAAAAGGTGATTAGTGTTAGCAATCCTGAACGCTCCCAACGTCTGTCAAATTATATTTTTACGTTGCTAAGACTACATCGTCTTTCATAATCGTAGAAACGGCGTGTGGTGAGATTTGTGCTGTTGGCAAAGTCGTGTATTAAAGTCGTGATCGTGCAAGACGGCGTACTGCATGTTTTTCTTTTTTAATGCACTACCCTGCAAGCGTATCCCGAAAAAAAGAGTAATAAAGCTTGAAGTCATAAAAGACGGTGTCTATTTACTGTTACGCGAGTGAGTAGCAGCGCGTCCCCCTTTTTTTAGAGGCACCGCTGAAACAGCTGACGGCAACGGAGAGGCGGTCGCAGTGCTGCCGACCCGCTGCGCTTGTGGCAGTGGTTGCAGGAGTACGCGCGGCGCAGAGCGGTCGTTCCGGTCACAATGGACGCAGTCGCGGATAACGGGTTCGTTTCTGATGTCTGAACCAGCATTTACAAAGCTATTGGAGGCGCACAGCAGATCTTCGTGACTGTACGCCGTAGCCGAAACCTCGAGCTGCTCGCTGCTCCGGTGAGGACCCCGCGTCGGCCACGAAACCGTCCGCCATGTTTGTAAGCGTAGCTGGGTTGCTTACTATTGGCTAGGAGCAAGAGCTGAAGCTCGCTTCTCATTGGCTGTTGATTCGTGTTGTTGCATGCGGTTGCAAGTGTGTGTACACGTCGCGCACAGTTGTCGTTGAAGTCGCAGCGGTTGCATTCGTTCGTAATCATAGTGGTCGCTCCGAACGCAACTGTGTGAACGGGCCTTGAACCGCATGCGAGCGATTTGGCGGTCGACAAGACGAGCGACGGCACAACCGACGAGAGTCAGCGACGAGCGACGAAGGTTTTTCACTGTCGCTTGTCGCGTCGCTCAGTTTTTGGATTTTTAGAAAACATCGCTCATCGCCTTGGTCGGTTGCTCCCGTCACTTTCATGCTCGTCGCGTGATTGACCGAGCGACAGCAATGCGGGTCGCTGTTGCTTGTTTCGTCGCTTGAGTCAAATCGCTTACATGAGGTGTGTGCCGCTGCACGGGTGGGAGCCCGCTTCGACCACGCGCGCGATGGGCTCTAAACTTTTGAAAAAGACTAACCTCTGCTTTTGCGATAATGATTACAATCACTGGTTTATTCGACTGACTAGTTCATTCTTTTTGTGTGCGTAAAAAAACAAAAAGGAAATGGCAGTGTGGGAAAAAAAAAAAGATATAGCGTGTTTCGTCAGGAATTCGCGCTTCCCTTCATAAGCCGGGCTCCCCCTCACTTCTCACTTGCAATGACATACGGGCAGGGTGTTGGAACGAAATGTTTTTCGTTCCGTTTTCATTTTCGTTCCATACAAAAAAGTTCCGTTCCGTTTCCGCTCCGGAACGAAAACAATAATGCTCCGTAATGGTTCGTAACGGTTTCTTTCTATAAAAAAAAAAAAAAAAAAAATCGCAACAAAAATTAAAAGGAACGTTACGTTTATTTTTACACAAAAATAGATAATTCAGGCGCTCCAGAGGAATCTGCGGAAACGACATTGCTTCTGAGATCATGTTCATTGCTTTGAGAATGAGATAATGATCAAGGCACCGAGCATGATCTCAGAAGCAGCACGTCATCAAGTGTGCTCGGTGGAAGGCAAGACCTCTGGTCCGATAAAATAAATTTCAGCGCCGAAAAGGCCCTGAAGGGATGAAGAAGTACACTTTTGCAACAGAGTCTCAGACTGCCGTATCCGTAGAAAAACAAAAGATGGACTTCTACAACGCCGGGTCACAAACTTCCCGCGCTTGCCGTGATCTGTTGTCTGTCTGTGTCGTCCGAAGAAAGCATGGAGGGAGAGGGCGCAAGCGCCAAGGAGAGCATTGCGAGCGTGTGGAGGCGTCGCGTCACCGCGCTCGCATTGGTGGGAAGCAATGGCGCCTTGCGTCATGTTTTTTGTTTCTCGTTGTATTTTTTGTCTTTGTTTTTGCTATGCTTGTTCGCCCGGAGTTTAGACGCGGGGGCGATGGCTTGCTTGTCTTCTCTTTAATTATGGTACAAACCAACGGCAGTCTCTTCGCTGCGTGAAACGAATTACTGAAATACCTGATATTTTCCCTTGAACCGAAAACCGATAAGAAAATTTTTCGGTTTCACTCCGGAACAAAATAATAAATAACGTTTCGATTACGTTTCCGTTCCGCCAAAAAATATAGTTTTTTTCGTTTTTCGTTTTTGGTTTTCGTTTTGTTCCGATACCCTGCATACGGGTCGAAGACTTTTTTTTTTTTTTTTTTTCTCGGATATTGAAAGGTGTCACAAGTTTCATGACTGCAATAATTATTAAAAACATTCATCAAATTAGATTTCTTTTTTTTTTTTCGCCCGGCGACTGTTTTGAGGACAGTTAGGAAATCAGCAACAAGCCGGACCAGACCTTTTCTTTTTTCTTTTAGGGAAAGGGGGAATGGGGAGCGCTAAGAGGGTTATCTTTCCTGCAGAAAACCGAGGTTTTACGTCGGCCTTTAAAGAAACTACTGCTGAAAAACGACTTGAACTGAAAAATGATGCGCCCTGCCGTCGCATGCACGCCGAGGAATAACTCGTGGCAAATTAGCGAAATCGACGGCATTCAGCGGCTAAAACAGTAAGCTGTGGCGGTAGGTTCGCTAGCCAGATTTCTCGGGTGAATCAGATATGCTAAGCGCTTGGTGGTCTAAAGACGAAGCCGTGAAAGTAGGTTGAAAAACGCGCGATAAAAATTGCCATTGGACAGCTTTCTGTGGCATTTCAGAAATGAAGAGTGCGCGTGAACAACTTTACTGGCCGCTCAAGATGCACACGCGCACGTGCGCTCATAGCTTTGAGTGCCTAACACACGAAGTTGTCCGCGAGTATATAGTAAGTATTCACTGGACGCCATATTTGAGGGCGATGTTTAGAGCGCATGCCCAGAACGAGCTCACATGGCTGCTAAGACCGGCACCCTTGATGGTGCTAAATGCACGCTCCAGAAGGACTGCGGAAGCTCGCCGTCAGCACGCGCTCAGCAGCAGCGCCCACAGATATGGCCGCCAGTGAATACTCCCTATTCGCGGCGAAAAGTTTGGGTATCGCCGCCTGGTGGAATTTTTTCGCAACCCAGAGTGAGGATACTTCAGCTTCCTCTGCTCGTGCAAGCACGTGCAATGCCAAGCTTCTATGCACTACGAAAATCAAAACATAACCGGGTGGGTAGCACGTCCCCTAGCGATAGTGAGGAAAACAGAAACGCCTCTAGCGAGCTTCTCACCTCAAATAAGGGCAAGTGCAGCGCGAAACAAGCGCGTTATTGCCGTGATCGATGGGAGGAAAAAGAATAAAGTTGAACGTTAAACAGGCTTTAAAGTCATCTGAAAAGACAATGAGTACGTCATTTAGCCATCTACGTCATTAAAAATTTGGGTAATAATGACAAATTCAGCTTGCATATATTCTTACTTTTTCTTTTCTGCATAAAAGCTATCTCCAAATTTAGAAGCTTTGGGACGATGAACAGGAATCAATTCCTGTCGTTTGCAGCAATAAAAACATATATAAATAGTCCCCGTTCCCCCCCCCCCCCCCCCCCCCAAAAAAAAAAAAAAAAAATTACAAGCTTTTTTTTTATTGCAAAAATAAATTGCTTATCACTGAACGCTTATTCTCCCCCCAAATGTAAACCTGGCGGTCCGAACCCGATGCTATAGTTTCAAAACTAATCCTTATCTGATTCCAAAGTTATAACCAATTTGCTGCAATGTTTAATGGGATTATGGTGGCCGCGTCGGAGCTGTCGAATGCACGGAGCTGAATGGCGCCCGTTAACGAAAACGGTCGAAAATGGGCACTATTTTCCCATTGAATTTTGCAGAAAATTACCTATGTGCCGAGAAACTGGAGGAGACGAGGAGACGAGGGCGCGCGGGGGACGTCAGAAGGCCGAGCTCTGATTGGAACGATTAGTGGGTAGACCTAAAGCTAGCTGCCGTGTCTCCACTGCACTCGGCGAATACCTTAAAACGCGGAACGCTGGCGTTTGGCGTTTGGCTTTCACATTTGAATGGGTTTGACAAGTGCAGTGGAGACAAGGACAGTTAGCTTTAGGTCTACCCACTGATCATTCCAATCAGAGCACGGCGTTCTGGTGTCCCTGCTCGCCCTCGTATCCTCTTCTCCCTCCCTACTTTTGAATGAGATAAATGTTAGTATACTGGAACCTTGGCATCTCGTTTGGACCGCTAACGCTACATTTGGGCGGATAATGAGCGTTCGGCGATGCGTAGTTTATTTTTGCAGTGAAAAAAAAGAAAAACTACTGTAAATGTTTTGGGAAACACGTAGATGTTTAGTGCCTCTCAGTGCCCCTCACTGCATATCAGTAGGATAAGGTGACTTATTGCCAGCCGGCTTCTTTAAAGTACATGAGCTGTTTTTAAATGTACGGGAGTTTACACATAGGCAACATCGAATTCCATTGGACCTTGAGAGTATTAATGCCTCTAAACTGAATCACTCACCTCTAGAAGCCGCTCCAGGACCCCGTATTCCTCCCTGTCCATCCCGGCTCGGCCCGCGAGCAGCGATGCTTGCGCGGAGTCCATCGAGCCCTTCATCCCCGAGACCAGTCTTGTCGAGGCCCCTGTGCAGCGCTTGTTCTCGAGGCCCGCCAGGACCGGGAAGGTGACCCAGTCCAGGTTGCTGACCCCCTGCACGCTCCGGCGCTAGCGACCCTGGCTGCTGCTCTCCGAACCTCGGCGAGAATCCACCGGGCACCTGCTGCGATCGTAACGCGCTGCCGGGAGCGTTCTCGAAACCAGCTTGGGGCTCCAGAGACTGCGGGTTAACGGCTGCCACTTGGGCCGGCGAGAAGATGCCTCCGGAGGAGGACGCTGGTACCCTGAAGGATCCATCGTACGAAGGATGCATCGGACGTCCTCCACCCGTTTGGAAACCGAAGGGTTCGGTGATTGACGGACCGTAGTTGATCTGGGGTCGGGGTCTGCCGTCTGGCCGCTGCTGGGGACGTACGGGGATTCGGGAGACCTGGATGGGGCCAATGGGGACTATTCCCGTTGGAGGGCTTCCAGGTTGGACGCGCAGGAAAGGGCTTCTGGCGACGCCTTCGGATGCGAAGCCAGGTTGGCGGTAAGGCTCGCCTGGACGGTTCACTCGTAAGATACGTGACGTGATTTGTTCCGATCCGCCTGGTCCCCTTGGACCTCCTGAGCCGCCGGATTCGTAGCGCGAAGGGAACACTGTTTCTTGCGGAATGCCTGTTGTCGTTTCTGTCGGGGATTGCTAAAAAAGAAAAAAGCAGAACGCGTCGGTGGTTAGGTCACCTCTCGGAGGCACATGTTTACGATACTACTTTTTATACTTAATTGTCCTCCTAGTGGCAAAAAGTCGTCCACCCCTTTTGTTACTGAGAGTGTACCTGCATTGAATCATGATGCCGATTGCTTTTCTCACTGGTTGGACTGATCGCGATGCGGTATACTTGCAGGAGCTTTCCACGCCTACATATTTCAGCGCCCGTAATTCGAGTAATGCACTCTTTTTAATCGTAAAACGGGTATTGATGCATGAAGCACCCTTTCACTTTATTTAAGGATGTAAGAAGGGTGTGGGACAAGGGTGCTGCAAAACACCCTTCTTGAAGGGCGTTCGTCGCACTGGCGCCAGCGGCTTTATCAGATGTTGTCTTGGCGACTCTGTCGAATACGTTTTTTACTTGCAGATACATTCCTCGAAGAAAGCTATATATTAGGCTTTATATGAAATACTGACGAGCCCAAAGTGACATACTGGTAATGATCTTCGTAATTGTAGAGACGGTTACCTGTGAATGAGGGTCTTTGAATTATTAAATCAAAGGCGGTGGAGCATTCAAAAGGGCAGTGAATGCTCTGTCGTGCGTAATTCATTACGTGTGTATTTACTTTTTTTTTTGCACGCTAGTATTGCATATGGTGTTTGTCGCTAGTAACCTCGTTGCTCGTAATATCCTTGCGCCACCGTCCCACTGCTTATGCATCATACAAAAGACTGTCTGCAAACATGTCAGAAGCATACATCTGGTGTATGAAGCAAATATGCTTTGGAGCATGCTTGATGCGAACCCACAGACCTGTTATTATGTCTGCAGTGGACAACGTGCCTTTTGTGTGGTGTATGAGCAGTTCGACTGTGGCTTTGGGGTGGTAGCCCTGGGGCAAGCCAAGATATACACCCTGAAGGGTGTAAAAGTGTGTAGTGTGTACAAGCAACGGTATCGATTACTTCTTGCTTTGGGTAGCACGCCCAGAAAAAAGGAAATCACTCACGGGTCCCTTTGTCCCAGGCACCGGCTTGGAGGGCCGCACAGTGGCCGCATTGGGCTGGTAGTCTCCCGCGCTCGACACGATGGTCACGTCGGCCGGGTTGGATGTCTTGGTGCCCGGCTCGTTGGTTTCGATGTGGGCCCGGAAGCCGTTCTCGTCGGCCTCGTAGTACACGCGCCTCTCGAGGCCGTCGGCCGTGAAGATGGTGTACGAGCCGACCACCCGGCCCGAGCCGTCGGCCGACTCCTCGCGCGTGTGGCCGCCGCCGTCGTCACCCACGGCCTCATACTTGAAGCCGTACGGCATCGGCGAGTTGATCCGTTCCCGGAGCTCCTCGTGTGTCGCCTGGAGAATAAGATGTTGTTGAGAACATGCGCGCTTAGGTATATACAGGCCTAATGCTCCTCGTCGTGTGCCACAATCACTTTGTCCTCGTACAATAAGCCTAAACACTGTTAATGCTTAATACTCGTGCCACACGGTCAATTCGAATGCCATTTACAACGATTGACACTTGAGCGAACGGCCAATCAGCGCGCGACACTCCGGACTAGAGCATTCCACGCGCGACAGATTGCGAGCTGATTCGCCGATCACACAAATGTCATTCGTTGTAAATGGCATCCGAGTTGCCCGTGTGGCACGGGCAACTCGGATGCCCGTGCCACACGGGCATCCCAGTTGGTGGTGTAGTGGTGTAGGTCTAACAGCGCGTAACAACGAAGGCATGGCATGGTGTAGGTGTAACAGCGCGTAACAACGAAGACTAAGAATATGAACACACAACACGGGACTTCCACTTCCACGAACTAGCCCAGCTCTCTCCTTTGTTACTGTTCATGTTTTTTTTTGTTTTTTTTTTGTCAGAGTAATAGCGCGCACAATGTTATGCCCGAGTCTCACTTGAGCGGCAAACAGAAACAGCCGACACCGGCAAGCCTCAAACACGTGCAGCATTCACGCGATAGCACCTTTGGCAGCTTTGCAGTTCCTCTGTGCTCGTGAAGTATAAGCACGAGTGACCGCAAGCTTGCCAAAAATGCCTTCGCGTGCATGCTGTACGTGCTTGAGGCTTGTCGGTGTCGGTTGTTTCTGTTTGTCGCTCTACTGGGACTCGGGCATTACTGCGTTCGCGAAGGAGGACTCAAGCATTGTTACCACTTTTGTGTACGACATAAACACCGCTTGTATTTTTATTGCCAGTAGGCGTGAGCCAATGTGGTACCTTCATTGCAACATATAAATTCGTGGTATTAGCTTAATTGAAGTAATTGAAGGTAGCATTCACGCCGAGAACCGCTCTGGGCAGTTCAGCCATCTTTTATTGTGTATAGTGTACAACGCACTGAAAGGTATGTGCGCCGTGCACAAATAGTTAAACTAATCAGTGCAGTTGTTTTTGTGGTACTTGCAGTAATAACAAACTTTATCATAAAACCAGGCTATCTTAAAGCGAATGAAGTGTACAACAGACGAATCGGGACACGCTGACGCATAGTGACTGTTTATCGTAAAAGATACCACAAAAATTAAGAACGCACAAATGGAATATATAAGCACGCTGCCAATCACACAAAAGGACCTTAAAATATCTTATTAATATTTGCTTGTTTGTATATTTTATATTTCGATTGCGGTTTTTATACGACTTTGAGTCACTATCCAGTAGTAGCTAGAGGGAGCTCCAATGTTTCCGATTTTGCTCAACATTTCAACAGCTCTCTGATGTAAGTTACAGTCGCGTCAACACGTTATCGTTTTTTTTCCACAGTATACAAATAAAGCTTGAACTTCAAAACAATCAGGCCACCTTTCCAGTGACAGTAACGGGTCACCGACAATCGGTCAGCGCTTCAGAATTGAGTGGCGGCTTTTGACGTTTTTTTATAGGGCAGGGGAATATGAGGGGAGGGGGTCACTATAGATGTGCGTCTGAAAGCTCGAAGTTCGAACTATCGATCTGCCAACTTTTGGTTTTGTGCAACGAGTACAAACGTGACTATACTATGCAGCTAAGGATACTGTGTCCCTTTATATAGATGCGATATCTCCAGTTCGGTTTTTCGGCCATCGCAAGGTGACTCTACCGTGTTCTTCCGTGGTCTCTAACAGAATTACAAAGTCACCATCTTTGACAGGTTAGCGCACTGGTATACCTCACGTCTAGATGAGAAGCGAACAGGGATGAGATTCGCCCTTGCGATTCACGTGTTCTGAAGCCCAAAGCGGCGATTCGCGGCTCTCCAAGAAACGGTACTATATACTACTAAGGCACACCGGCTGCCAACCCCCGTTGTGCCGTTTGTCACGCGGACATGAAGGATGGCGCACTCGCCCAAGGACACTTGAGGTCTACTGAAGACACGCCAACAACTTGATGAGGGGTCAAGAGCGCGCTCGAGTCGCGGAAGAAGCAAGAAAGAAAAAAAAAGATATTCCGGAACGGCCGTTGAATTCTGCATTCGCGTTTACCTTGTTGAAAGTGGCACAAGACCACGCAGCGTCTTTACGCCACCGCGCCTCTGGCGCGCTTCCAAATCCAAATTCAAGTGCGCGCAGTACGTCCCGCAGGGTTAAGCGTCTGGACCGTTTGGGCGTGAGTCACCGATGAAGCGCTGCGCTGAGGAGCTCGATTTGCAAGCGCAATAGACAGGGTGGGATGGTACACTGCGCAATTTGAGGGGGCTAGGCAAAATAGGTGCGCGCGCGTCATTGTTTCGCGAGCTTGTCACCGACGGATTTAGAAGAGGGCACGAAGTTGCGCTGTGGACCATTTTGGTGTAGGTCAGCACTCTCCGAGCTCGATGATGACTGAAGGCTCCGAGGGTTGGGTTGTCACGACAGTAGGGAGCTTGTGACAACATGACGGATTCCAGCTTTCTCACCACGAATGACCATTGCGCCGTTGCCCTTGTGCTCAAAAGTATAGTACCAGTTTCTTGACTCAACATCTAAAATATCTCTAACGCTAGAATAGCCAAAATCGACCGGTTTCGATTCCACACGACTCGCGAGGATTGAGGCTGTGTAGCATTTCAGGTGACTTCTTGGTCTCTTCACTCTGTACCTTCACAAAACCTTTCAGTATTTCCCTTACTCTAAATGTAAATGAAGCTTTCTTGCAAATCTCGACCTCTCTTTCAGTCTTCGATTATATCGCGGGACGTGCGCCACGTGCGAAACCAGTGTCAATGCGCGGACCTGCTTGTTCGGTTTGAGCGTATTTTCAGCATCGTCATTCGTCAATATTTCTCTTTATGAATGGAAGTGATTGAACTCCGCATGCCCTGCTGCGATCAACCAGACGCGCTGTATATTTCTTCTTTGAAGTTAAATGCTTTTATTAGAAGACCGGTAGATAGATTAAATAAACGAGGGTTGCGTGCGCATAAACGCAGAAGCTACCATGTCAATGACATGACCCCAGTCGTTCATCGCTCTTCGGCTCGTGCCGAATGCTGCATCATTCTTGCCGTATCCGGTTTGTTACGGCCTAAAAACACATTTTCGTCCGCTATCTAGCAAAACAGTACCGCAACCCACGGGCTCCATCCTTGGCGAATGATGAAGTCGAAAACATATTTGAACCTAAAAATATAATCTCCACTGTGAAGGTAAGCACAGCGTCGTAAACATATATAATTATACTCAGTGTCACGGTACAGACCGGTTTCTTGCGTCGAACCGCCTGTTCGGTAAAACGCAGAGGAAACTATTTTCAGGTCAAAACGCTTTTCCAGTTCGTCATTCACCGAGCGCCCTCTGTAGATCGTGGTGATCGATTCAGCGAGTGTTCCGCGGGAGAGTATCGACGCACGGGCAGTTTTATGGTGTACTGTCATACATCCTCAAGTGATTGGTTCTTGATCTGGTGAACCAGTGAGAAGGACGGTGCGGTCTAAGTCGCAATAGGGGTGGACGCTTATTTGCCGCTGGGCATGACATTGATTACACTTCTCATTGGTTGAACTGATTAAGTGAAAAACCAGTGGCTGAAGTTCCAGACGCATTGCAGTGCAGTGTGCAATCAGGGATTTTTGAGAAAGCTAGTATTCACGTAAATCCAAGGATGTTCTATCCGAAAACGACGTCTGTGTAGACGACATATATCTAGGTGTCGGTTTGGGCACGTGTTAGCACGCTGTACTTCCTGCAAGCCCTAAAACTCTTTGCCGCGTATATGTCGCTCGGAATTCAACGCCTGCTTCCAAATAGCGCTCCTGCCACGTCTAAATTTTCAGCTATATACATCTGTCACGTCTCCTGTCACACGACTTGTCACGCCAATTGAAGTCGCTTTATGTTGTTGTCGGCTGCCTTTAAAACGTCTGTCTCCGTCTTAAGAATACGCTAACTTCTAGAAAAAAAAAAAAAAAAAAGAAACGCCGGTGAGACGTGAGTCGTTTTGAGAGAATGTCACTTCGTCAAAGAAGTTCGCACACCCAAGCAAGAGGGCAGCAGGCAGGGGTCGCCTCCGAGGATCCCGTGCGAAACACGGAACGGGAAGGTAGTCCAGAGCGATCATTCACTCGCGAATATAGCTACATCTCTTCAGCGTCCCGCAAAAGCGAACACTTCGAAGTAACCTCGGTGTCTCGACCGAAAGCTGAGCGAAGCGGGGAAAGTCAAAACAAAACAAGCACACAAAAAACGACAGATCGCACGGCCCGAAAACCCGTCTCGCGAATACAGTGCCCGCGCGTAAAAACGCGATGCGCTGTGTATATCTGGAAACAACACCGATACACGGAGCGGGAGGGACACCCGCTCATATGGCGACCGCGCCGCGAGACGATATATAAGAAGACACACCGTATACAATTTGCAAGCACACCAAAAAGAGAGACATTCCTTTCCTTTCACTCGCAATTAATTATAACGGGTCTCTTCCTGGAGAGTTGAGGTCGCCAACTCACGCACAGACGCGAGCGCGTGAGTGGGTGCGTGCGAGTGAACGCACGTGCATGAGCACCTGAGGCGCGTTACACAACGACGTGTTGCCTTGTTTGTGTGTCTGTGTGTGTGTTCGCGCGCTGAAATGCTGGCCGAGGTCGAAGATGCGAGTTCGATAAGTGGGACAGCAGCATCGCGCGGCGCTGTTCTCTTCCTGACCCTGCTGCGTATTAAACGAAGGCGGCAGCGAGTGGTGGCGCGTCTCCTTCGATGGAGCAGGAAGCGACATTGACCCGTGCGCGCATGCATGCACCGATCGGAGTGTATAGCCGCGAAGAGTTCGCCGTACACACACGGCGGGTTTGTTTGCGCGTTTGTTCGTTCCGCCCTCGCTTCGCGGGACGTGTGGAGGACCCGCGCGAGCAGTCGTTCACGAACGTCTCGCACAAAACGCCGCGAACATCATCGTGGGAAGATTCGCAGCCAAGATATAGTCGTTGCACGGGACGGATCCTGTTTTGCTCGTTGATGGCCTATTATAAAAAAAACGCTCGAAACTGTAGACGCCTATTGATTCACGATCTGCGTAATAAACAACGTGAGCATACTGAGACACTTTAATATCTGCCGATAAACGATCCGCTCGCTGGGATGCGCTCTTGATAGATTAGGCGTGTATTGTTACACCGCGCGACACTGTCAGTGAGAAGAAGCGATCAACGGGCTCTTCGGTGAGGTGTTTGCATGTCATATGACATGCAAAGGTGCTTGCATGTCATATGACATGCAAGCACCTTTAAGCGAAAAAAGTGTAAAGGTGTTTGCATGTCATATGACATGCAAACACCTTTAAGCGAAAACCCGCAATGCATGCTTCAATATCTGAATGCTTTGGTTGGTCGGAACGATAATATAACACCCTGCCATGTTCCACCCCGATTCCTTTTTATCCTTTGTTATCTTCCAGTTTCAACGCACAGCAGCCACCCATTACACAGATTATGCAAGCTTTGCATACGTTTTGTTTTTATTCTATTCCACTTAGTTTATTATTTAAGCAATATCCACATTGAAACAATACCACGAAAGACTGCGCGGTATTGTTTGCTCCGGGCTATTTTTGTCGCCGATAATTCCCCAGCTCGCGTTCACATCTGCTTTCCTTCGGTAAGAAGAACCCGATGCCTTTCTGCCCTACCCGAAAATCGCGGAACCTGGCACCAGGATACCGGTGGGCACGACTCAGTTATGGAAATGAAACGCTTGGCACCGTCATACGCGGCCGTCTCTACACACAAAGAAAAACACCCAGGAAAGAGAACGAGCTGAACGTCAGACCCAGACTGTAAATCAACCGCTCTAGGGGGAAAGGAGGATGCCGCCGGTATTCAGGAAGATTCGTAAAAGCGGGAAATTACGGCCAGGAAGCGGCGTCTGGCCATCGATTGTGCTGAGCGCAACTGGGATTGACCGGTATACACTCGCTTGAGCGGCGCCGGTATGCCTTGGTCCAGATGGACCGAAGCCAAGACTAGAAGCCGTTTGAGCCACTCACGTGCCGCGAATGAGCTGCGATGCTTGGTTCAGTGATCAGACGCGTCAATCGGATGTCGTGAACATGAAGTGGTGCTCCAGTCGTGTAAGCAGTGGTACGATGCTCCGGTACCGTTCGTTATACTATATGTATCCATGCTCATGCTTGCCCTTTGCTCCATCTTAAGATGAAGCGGAGTGTGGGGCGGACACGGTGGCGATGCGTATAATCTTCTCCTCGCATTCAATGACGACTTTATTGCAGAGTCGCAACGTTTCGACCTGAACTGTATGCGCTGACCCTGGCGGAAAATGGGAACCGTTTTGATGGGCTCACGATCAGCTTCTGAGTGGGTCTGTCCCTCGTCTTTCTGGCATACAACTTCGGACTGTAAGATACCTGATCACTGCCGGCTTGACTGAAGTGCTTGTCTCAAGCGTCTTGCCCTCACACCTTCGGCGGTTTCTTCGACCTGGTTTGGAAACCTGACCTACACTGAGCAGCTGACTTGTGATCGCCCGTGTTGTTTTCACTGGCTGCGGCTCGGGATTTTATTAAAGTGTGCGCGAGCACGCACAATGCCATCGTAACGTCGTAACATCCCTCGTACCCACTAGAACGTATGCATATAATTTTATTATACGCGGAAACGAAAGTGACTTACAATTGGTTCGTTGTACAAACTGTGAATGTGCACGAGTTGATGTGGAATCTACGTACGTATGAAATACTTGAAGCATATGTAAGTCCATAAAAATCTTTCTTTGCATCATTTCGACTGACACTACCCCCCTCTTCTTTCCCCCGAAAAATTAAAAAAACAAAACAAAAAAACAATTATACCCGACAATAATGCTAAGATGCCCGGATAATTAAGGTAGTGCACTTCAGCGTTCCTCACCTGAAATGGAACCACAAGACATTGTTGCTATTTATCCTTTGACCAGGCGAATTTGGAGCAGGTGTTAAGAGCCTCACTGCTAACTCAAATTGCAAACTTGTGTTCTATTTTCACCCCGCGGCAGTGTAATCCTCTCCAGAACATCAGAAGACAACTGAGAATGGTCTCTTGGTATTCGAAACCTCGCCAGACGTATGCCACCAGAACCCCGAACGTCACTCACCAGGCATATTCATACCATAACGTGCGGTCGCTGTAAGTAGAATAAGGGCTGCGAAGGTTCATTCCATGCTTCACTCGCATCAGCTGTTGGGAGACCACCTCTCGAACTGACTGCCACCTCTCAGCCGACCCCCTTCTATAACACGATTCGGAGATAAACATGCGACCCATTTTGTCCAGAGGGACGGACAAACAGATCATCGAGGAACAAACATGGGTTTGGGGCTATTAGATGTGGAGATAGGTTGCCCGGAGCGTTTTCTTTTTTCTCCGCACAATTTTGTTTTCGTTCCACTCCGCCGTTTTATTCTTCGTTTCCGTTAGCCATTCACGAAGTCGTAGGGCGGTGTCATGCCACATTGACCCCTGAGGCCGCACCGGACCACACGTGACGTGGACAATCGACGCCAGAGGCATCTAACGGCAGCCAAGAGCACTTGCGTAAATACACTGTCGAGAGAACGCCTATTAGCCTTCTTCTTATAACTCAGCACGCTCTGGCTATTGCCTTCGGGGCTACCTGTAACTTCTCTCACAGGCAGAGATGCTTCCCGCCTAAACGCTTCATGGGCCGCTCACGCGCGCGCGCGCGCTCGCTGAGTTTTTTTCCGCGCCAAAAGAATGTTGCACGGAGGGGGGTCGGTCGTTTCCCGCTAAAACAACTTTCCGCGCGCAACTTTATTTCGCACGGATGCGGCTCTCCTCCGCGCGGGAATTCGTGAAGAAGCAGTTCCGCCTCCTCACCGACAAAACTTCACACGGTTGACACAGAGAGGAAACACACGAACAAAAACACATAGAAGCACAGAAGCCGTCAGACAGTTAGTTGCACGTTTTCGAACGTCACTTTCGATTGGTGCCGCTACGACCGGGTCCGAAAAGTAACAATGCGTCGTCGTTCACTCACCGGTGTGACGGATTCCGCCGAGCAAGCTGCGAAGAGAAACGCCAACATCAGCAGAAGCCGCGGGAGCCGGGCTGCCTGTGAGAAAACGAAGGGATAAGAAAATAATTAAAGAAACTTGTTATCACTAAGCACGACACACACTTGGAATGGAGTTCTCTCAGCGGTTTCTGCAACCCCGATTTCCGAATGAATTTCACCTCCTCTGGGCATACCTTTATTAATTGCATATGGCCGGCAACATCTGTACGTCCAAACAATAGAGCAAGCTCAATAACAGGCGTCATGAAATTATGAGAGTTGGCAAGGTAACAGTCAACTTTCAGATTACAAAGACGGAGATGGATGACGAATTATAGTGAGGCTCTGGCGACCATGATGAATCTACTTCCCCATATTTGGCACCGATCGTAATAGAAAAGAGTGACAGTTATTTAATGCTCGCAAAGGTTTTACGAGTTCTTTCCACCCGGATTATTATCAAAAACTGTTATTTTGCTAAGAATTCTGCACTTTAGCCTCCTACAGCTATGACAGCACTCTTGTTTTTTCCACAGCGGAGAGCTATGCAAAGTATAAGCAAGAAGCGCAGCTCGACAGCACGTGCAAGGAACGTGCTGTCAAGACCTCTTGACCTCAATTCGCGTCTTCGCAAGTTACGGCGTGAACAGGTTGACAACACCCATCTACGCAGACCCTGCAGGTTAGCCGGGAAGACACCGGGCTAAGGCGGGCTGACTTTTCGCTGCATATACATTTCCACGCCAAAGTTACACTTTCACTGTGTCTGTATAAATGGGGGAGCGTAAAATTCGTCATCACTCCTGTGTTTGTCTGCTTACCAATGCCTGCTCTCGCACCTTCTACTAAGAACACCTAATATCGTTAACAACTGAAACGCTAAAAAAAAAAAAAATATTTATGCCGTCACCAACATCGTTTACAAGAACCACATATGACGCACCATATGCTCTCGCGATTTCGTAGACCGTCAGTTCACTCAAAACGTTTGCTTCTCCGTGGTTTGAATTTTTTTTCATTCACTTAAATATTTTTGACATCTCCAACTTCGTTTACCCTTGTGCATAAATCTTCTTTTTTTTTTTTACCCTTCAAAATAAAAGTATACTTTTATTTACATACGCGGCAGGCGGATTGGATAAGCGCCGTATTTTTTGTTGCTGACTTCCACTTCATCGAGTTCATTGCATCTTATTCGCAATTATCAGCAAGACAAGCCTCATGTATTAAAGAAGAAGTCTTTACTGAAAGCGAAAGGAACCCAATATGAAATGCAGCTGTTTATCGACCGTGCGTCTAGGTATAACTTTGTGCTGTATGCCGTTCGCTAGAACTTGTCTGCACGTCTGCAAGATAAGCATTTTTCTAACGACGGTTCTCTACAACGCGGAATCGGTATCAATAATTTTGTTGCGAAGTCTTACCGCGTGTTTTGACTTCGACTGCGGTAGTAACCGATAGTTCGGAAAATGAGCTGGAGTGAAGTCACAGTGAAAACACAACATGCTCCCCTCTCTATTATCCCGCAGAGAATACAAAAAAAAAAAAAAATCAAATTACTGCGTTCGGAGTTTTTGTGAATGTATTTGCGTTCTACACGCATATTTTCTTTACCCACGTACGGAATTATTATACCCCGCCTTAGGGTTGCTGGACCCTGCCAGTGTCCCAAAAACTTACGGCTATAATAATACGGTACAGAAGTATTCTACACATGGTATGCGTATAACACATACTATCAGTTATATTTCTTCTGTTCAACGCAGGCACTTGTTAGCCACGTGCATTCCCCCCTCCCCCCCCTCTTTTTGGGGAAGAGTTGATGAACCTTAGGTTTTCATGACTCAATTATTCCTTATGTTACTGTAGGCAGTGATTGAAGTGACATTTGACTATTTGTAGCAGGATTTCTAGCAGGAAACATGTCGATTTGGAGCAGCCATTTACCCTTTTGGAGCAGATCACAACATGTGTTCGCACATCACCTAAAAATTAGACGATGATTGCATCGCTAAGTGAGTCAATCTTTGATAATATTTGAAGGTTCATCTTTAATATCAAAGTATATTACTTATTACCTTTTTGAAATTATATTACATATAAATAGTCATAAGAAATACAATATGGAAGCTGTTGTTTTAGAATTGAGGCTCAGGTCAAGGTAAGCTCCGTTTACAATAAGGATTTAAAAAAAAAAAAAATTTAAAAATAAATCGTAGCAAGATATTTTGGTTGAGATAAAGTGTCTCTCCCACTCCCTGTTTTACGCTCATATTCAACGTAACCTGTCAATGTCATTCATATAAAATTCAGAGAAAAAAAACTACCATATCCTCTATAATGTCAATCAATAGTCTGTTCCACCAAGGATTACAAACCAACAAAACTCGAGTATCTAATATCATAAACTGCAAACCGATCTTCCTTCACCAAATATTAACAAAAAATAAAATTTAGCTTGACAAGTGGCATTCCTAATTTTGCAAGGGTTAGCGGCATTGAAGCCAGAGTTTAGACGGAGTTCGGGGTCCTTTCAATCGACCGCTGAGTGGGAACTACCTTGGATCGATATTTAAATTTAGATCCTCGTTTTTGTTTAGATTTTCTTTCTCGGCGCCGCTTTTTAATACTAGACGTCGACCTACCATCAAGACCCCCAAAAGTTGAACGGTACTGAGCGTATTTTCCGAGCCCATCAGGCTACCCATGGGTGTCCTCCCGCGTAAGCCACTTCCCTTAAAGGCCGACAACCAGACTCGATATTCTGCAAGGCAGAAGATCCCCCTCACCATGGTGGAGGAGGAAACAGGCAATGGTGGACAGTGTGAAAAGGGGGAGAGGAGGAAGCGGGGGAAAAGTGGAAAGCGCGAACTGGTCGTCGGCCTTTAACGTACCGGTGCGACGCGGTGAAGCTCGACTCAGGCGCGCCTGTGCGGTAAGGTGAAAGTTGTCGCAAACGGCGATAGTGCAACGGCGGAGAGGCATGTGGCCGAGATGAAAATCAAGTGATCTCATAAGGAGTATGCAGCCCGGTTTCTGTTTGGTCACAGCCAGCTACCGTACTACTATATTATAAAAAAAAAAATTCTCGAGATTTCTAGCTTAGTGACATCGGCGACATCATCGTTGGGGAGTTTAAACGATGACGTGGCCAGTGCGTAGACGAGCAATTTTAGCTACGGCAAGTAGAGACACTGTAAAATATTTTTTTTTATATTTTTCTTCTGTTTTATTTTTTTTCGATATTAATGTCGACCAATAATATATATATATATATATATATATATATATATATATATATATATATATATATATATATATATATATATATATATATATATATATATATATGTATATTGCTTTGTTTAAGTTAATCTTGTTACACTATATATGACGCTAATCTCAGTAAAAATGGCTTTTTGGCGCGGCATGTAGCAGACTACCGTTCATTACGCAATTTGGAGCAAATGGCGCAGCACTTTCATTACTGAGCCTCGCTGCTTCAATGTATGTTCCATCTCTCGCAATCAAGAGTCTCCATTTCTCAGCTCAACAAAAGTGTAGCCAGTCGACAGTATAATGTATGCTCAGTGGCTAGCCCTTTTGTTGGGGTCCTTCTTTCCCACATTTTTAACAAAAATAACAAAAAGAGAAACACGTTCCATCGACCACTCCGCGCGATGATTATTTGTCGTGTGACCTAAAAAGCTCGCGGGTAAGACGGATGCACCTGAACTCGGGGCCCGTCCGCAATCCTCGAGCGGAGAAACAAAAGTAAATGGCGAGGAGAGGAAAGCGGATCCGACAGTTGGGAGACGAGTGGGGTCCTCTTTCGAGGGAGTGACGCAACACCTCCTGAGGTGGCATCTGAAATGATGGAGCTCCTTTCTCCATCGTGCTCGGTCGAGGCAGCATAAACTGTTTGACCGCGCGAGACTGGTTCTGCGTCCGGGGAGAACGCAAAACAAGCAGGGAGGGGAGACGGATGAATTCGTCTTCCGCTCGTCCAGTGTGCTTTGTGGGTCGGCGGAGACGTCTTGTCCCTTACGACAATTCGCTTGTTCCGAGAAACAAGCAATTAGTGACGAGTGAATCTTGAGCGCATTATTCCAGCGACAAGGGCAGCAAATTCGCACGAAGCACGAGGCGGATGTAAAACGTTGAGAAATTGCGAAGAGCGTATTTGTACCGAGGAACTCACTATGAAGTCTGTTTGTTTCTCAGTCATAGGGAGGCAGTCACACTGACGATACGTGAGAAAGCAGACAAGGTGCTCGATGCAGACATGAGGACAGAATTGCCGGCGAACACATCTTCAAACACGGATGGTTGCTTCATACATACGTAAGCTTCAAAAATGTCTGACGATCGTTTTTGCATGACCAATGCGTCAGGACCGGCACACAAGGAAGAGAGACATCTCAGGCGGTGTGCAGACTGTCCTTACAGTGTACAGACACCGACTGACAAAAGACATCTACGTCCGCGGCTCGCAGAATGCAATATGCAGCGCCCTGGTCCCCTACAGTGGTCAGCAATAGGGTGCTCGCTCTCTTTTCCTGGCTACTATTTACGCGCGGCTACTCTGGCATCCTTCGGCGATTTTTATCTCCGTCGTTAAGTGTCGTAATAAAACGCGATGATTCACTCTCGGACGCAAGCGCGCTCAGTGCTAACAGCTCTCGGGAGTTGGCACAGATCTCCAAGCAGTCCTTTCCGATTTACATAATCGACTCATATATTTATCTCTTCTTCTCAGTCCGGCTTGTTTACAGCAGCAGTCATCCAGAGGTGGGTGGTTTGTGTGTACTGGGAAAAGACTAAGGACCAAAGTTAATCCGGGGACCATCTCTTGGCTGTAAACGAAGCAGCGTCCAAGGACAGTGAGCGCGGTCTGATGAAATCATCTCGCTGCCATTGTGATGCGCATAAAAATGGCAGAACGGCGAAAACGTGCCTTCCGGCTTTTTATTTCTGAAACAAAAGAAGCTAAGAGCGTTACGTTTGCTTCCGCTTAACCTTCGCGGTGTTTTGCGGGTTTTAATTTTTTCTAGAAT